AGTGTGACCTTTGATGTACGCTACATCCACATGTCCATCTTGAAACTCATTAACATACACACGAGAAGTGCATGTAGCTACCATCGAGTTTTCGAGTCAGTTGCTGGTTATAGGTCGCTTTCCACTATAATAGGCTTTATATTTTCTGTGTCCATCATTGCAGCACACATATTAGTATCATTCTGATGACAACTCCTGCCCACAAATTATCCACTCCTAAACACATTACTTGTGAGTCATGCACATTACCTTCTACTGCCTTTGGCTGGTATGATCTCTGATCAATTGAGTAGGTATATACTCTCTTCTTCTCTCTCCTTCCAGGTGTGAATGGCTTCCATTGACTCAAAACTTATCTCAGTTTTCCCTATTGATGTACACTTAGCTCAATGTGATAAAAAAATTGGTGCATACCTAGCTCACATGCATGCTGCTTTCACAGTGTGCCAAAAGCTCTGTTGCAGTACGGAAAGGATCCTGGTCGCAGTGTGGGCAGTCATTATTATCTCTCTTGAAGGGTCTGAACAATGCTTCAACCCGTTCAAGTGCACCAAGTTCTCGCACGCACACTCAGTTTCAGCACTCCTTTCTGCATCAAACGCTAAGTGTGGAATAACTTACCTCGTGACGTATTAGACAATGACCCTACTACTTTTTTAGATATTATACTTAAACACTTATTACTAAAAAAACAAAAAAACAATGACACTATGGGCTTCCTCGAGGTGTTTGATGAGCCTGGAATTCCTTGAATACACCTTATGGGTGGAGCGTGTCATGTAGATGTGATGTTTGGTATACTGGGACCTACTGTGAAACAGAACTAAGCAACTATCGCGAGTGTGATGTGACTGGTAACTGGACTAAACTTAATGCTAGTTTGGGTATATTCGATTGTGAATGTCTACCAGGGTGGACAGGGGGGTTGTGCGAGACCAAACTACTCAACTGCAGTTCCGACAACTGTGACAGTGGTGGAAAGGCTCATGGCGAGGGAGACTGGTTATTAGGCCTGGGTACATTATGCTGGCATAATTCTGAGCATAATAGGGAGACCCAAGCACTAAGGAATTATGCCAGCATAATAGGCGGTCTGACTAATCTCGTCTGCACGTTGAGAGGGAAAACACTCATGCGCAGCCAAATCCATCCGTCTTCTAATGCGTGAACTTCGAACTCCACGTATTCTTCTTTGTCAGCCATCGTCCACTGTGGCTGAAAGGGTTTTTTCACTGCTAAACAATAGCTTCTCAGAGAGACAGTCACACTCATTGGAAGACTATATAGAAACTTCAGTCATGCTACAATATAACAGCAATTCTTGATTGTATAAATGAGTTTTAACCTATTATGCTCTATAAACACTTAGTTTGGGAATAATAGGTATTATATACAAACCCTCGGCTCATTGTGGCGCGCACGCGTGCTAATTGCTGGGCTTTATGTCTCGTGGTCTCTTGCCAGCTCGCGCAGAGTCTGACGCGGGCTAACTACACTACTAGATAGCATGCGAGAGGCCCTGCGTTGCATCTTCTGGTGCCTCCGAGGTACGCAGAGCACGCGGATCGCTCAGACCGTGGTAAGCCGTTGTGTATTTTCAGAGAAAACCGCACAAACTTTCTGACCTTCATTGCCCGGTAGGCAGTATCCTTTGTGAGACGAAAAAACATTGGAGAAGTGAGTTGAGTAACAAGACACACGGGACACACACGTACGTACACACAGACCCATATACCCTCGCTGCGCATGCGCGCCGAGAAGCAAGACAGATGTATATGTACCTGTCGCCATTACATGCGTATTGTACATTGGCAGAACGGTGAGCAAGTGAGCAGAACGGTACCTACCTTACGCTTTCAGCTCGCCAGACGTGGTCAGTATGTACACGAGCAATCCTAGCGTATTATACTATTTGCAAGTTGCACCTTGGAACCATGAAGATTGGGAAGAGGTACAGCCTCGGTCAGTCACCCAAGGTTACAGCGCATGCTGTCGAATGGAGAGGAGAGTTCTCTAGCTGGCTAGATCGCATATCGCGAGGCACCGTGTGTGAAAAATTTGGAATTAGCGCGTACAAGACGTACGAACGATTACCGAAAATTCCGCTCGAAAAAGCACGGTATCCCGCTCGCCTTAAGGAATGTAAATTAGTCACGCTTAGGAATGTCAACTTCCGTCATCTAGCTTCCGCCGTGCGCGCAGATTTGGGCTTCGCGCGCAGTCAGTAGAGCGCGTGCACGAGCGGCCTCAGTCGGACTGTTTACGCATTGGCTGGCAGGCGCGAGGCAAAATAATATGCACGTGCGCATTCCTAGTATACTAGTAGGCGAATGCATAGCATTTTTGGCGAGCGGGAGCGAGTACACAATGACTCTATCTGCACGAGCCATCCTACAACTTGAACCTTAGAATCACGAAGATTTGAAGGAGGTATAGACAGCCTCGGTCAGGTATCGAAGAACGCAGCGAATGCCAGCAAATAGACGAGAGTTCTTTGGCTGGCTATATTTCGCATCGATATGACAGCTAGGGCAGCGTGTAAAAATTTGCGCGTTCCCTATCACGAAAGCGACGCTGATACAAACGAGCCTCTCCGCTCAAGAGTCTCACGGGCACGGATGTTCTCTTTACCTCTCTCTTCGGCGACGAAGGGCATCTTCCCCTGACTATATACACGCACGACATCATCACAGGCAGGCAGCATGTGACATTTTGAAATCCTTTCGGATAAAAAGAAGCGCGTAATCCTGGAGCATGCGCAGTTGGACGACGTACGGCCGTAAATCCGCGCCGTTCGTACACCTAGGTTAGCTCGCTCCCGCTCGCCAATAAAAATGAGTGGAGACAAATAAACTGCGAATAAAGAGGCATAATATAGGGATGGTATAAAAAGAAAGGGAGACAAGATAGGGATGGGATACATGAAGCATGGTTAATGAACAGATTTGAGTACACTGACACCCCCAACCCCATCACACAATCCCTATATTGTAGCCGAGTTGTAGTAGAGTTCCAAGCCTCGTTCATTATGTAGAGTGAGGGGTGAGGGAACGACACTATGGGTGGTATGGTAGTAAACTCCGTCCGAGTGATAAGAAGACATTACTTGTAGATAGGTGGCTGGTGCATCTATATGTGGTGTGTGTGTGTGTGTGTCTGTGTATTGTCCGTCTGTAATAATCTGCACCAGAAACACACACTGTCTCAGGTTATGATTAATGATACCAACCTGGAGTAGGTATAATTATAAACAGAGAGCTAGTAGGATATAGCTACAGTTCCCTCTCCGGGTGCGGTCTGATGGATAAGGCGTCTCACAGACTTGATTTTGAGGTCAAAGGTTCGATCTCTGTACGTGTCACTATATATAAATGATGTAATGTGAGTGTCACTTCTACTTGACAGTCCGAGTGGCTAAGTGGTTAGAGATGTGGGGACCGTCAGCATAAGGTGGCGGGTTCGAATCCCGGACCCGCACTGAAACTGACAGGTGGTCCAGAGCATTGGCTGGGAACAGCTCTGGTTCCTCCCCTTACCTACGAATCTACCATTGAACCACATACATCTCAAAGGACAGCGTATGGTTTGGCATTGCACTACAGCAATAGACATCTGTCTGGAGAGATATAGGGCTGGCCATTCAACCCGTAGAATGTTTGTGTTTGCACAAGTAAATGTGTTTATGCAGAAGCCTCTCAAAATAACCATTTAGGATTGCCCTATATAATGTCCGTCACTATTTGGGTGTTTGCCTATGTCCATGACCATTTTGGTGTGTACATACGAGAACGGTAACACTGTCAGGCTCTTCAAGACAACCCATCCACCTAGTACCTTGCATGCGTATAGGTTTGACACTTCTCTCTCTCTCTCCTTTGCTTTGTACAGAACCTAAGGACGAACTGTGAGTTAAGCAATCTCAAGGGTCACACTAACCTTTCCAATCCCAATTCCTCCTCCAAAGAGCAAGAATAAGTTTATACATAATTTATACACAGATATGCTTCTCTTTCCCTACCTCCCTCTCTCCCCTTTACTTTCTACAGGGCACAGCGATCAATCTCATAGCAAGCAAATGGTGAGCAATGCTGCTTTTCTAAGCACACAGGACTAAATTCGTGCATACTCATCGCCCTGTGTAGTGATAGTGGCAGAGAGTGTATGTAAAAAGGGTGTACTCGGGGTTCCCTACTCTGATGCATATCCAGTCCAATGTTGCTCTCAAACCCTACCCACCCCACTGATGCAGCTAGCGAGCTCCATCCTAACTTTCTTCTTTCCCATTTTTCCATGAACCCCTCCCCATACCACCCCCCCCCCCTCCTCATCTTTCCTGCAGGACACTCTTGAGAAGGCCAGTGCTCTACTGAAAGAAAGATATAGGCCCGGCAGAGTCGGCAAACCTCTCATTCCTCTGTACATTCCACAGAGACTAGTAATGAACTGAGCTCAGTCTAACTGGCGAGCGAAGGGAGCCGGGGGTATTATGCACTGCACATACAATCGCATTGCATTCTCTAGCAATCCCCAATTATGGATCGCCTTAGAGGGGTATATAGTGCGGATTACAGCGCGAGTGGGCGTGGAGAATTCTCCGCGCGCGACGACGTCACAAAAGCTGTGAAGGAGACGATGCTGCAGTGTGAAGTGTGGATAAGTTTGTTAGTATTCTCTACAGCGGTAACAATTGTTGCAGGACAATGTAAGCGTTTTTAGTATGGTCTCTAAACCAAGATTATCTGCATGGTTGTGGTCGCAGCTACAGTCGTGATTGGAGGAAGAACATACGAATACGGAGTGGATATCACTCTCCTCTGTTTTGTGGCTGGAATAGATCCACCACGCAATGTTACTTGGCAGGTCCCAGAGAGCAGTACCAGTTTAGAAAGGGGGCTGCTAGTCGACAACACTAATGTTCCCTCCCTGACATTCGAAGCTCGTAGAGAGGATGGAGGTGACTACACCTGTCAAGTTGTTGGGAGTGACGCAGAACAACGTGCAGATACGGTCACAGTTGGTAATTAAACCACTTTGCTGTTATGACATATTTGAGTTATTATCACAAACACAGTTCCAGCCATACTGATGGGACCAGAGGATATGATTCTGGAGTACAGTGATGTCCTGACAGCCACATTCACCTGCACCGCTTTTGGTGGAGACGATGCTCCACTAGCAATTGACTGGCTATCTCAAGCAACAGGATTTAATGCCATTTCAAGAATTGATGGCATTAATGCAGACAACAGCACTACTAGCTCGATCACTACTCTCCCTCTTTCACTGAGTGATAGAGGAAGTATATATACCTGTGATGTAACCTATGAAAGTGCACCCGGTGATGACAATGAAGCATCAGCTACTGTGGACATTGGTGAGTATACATGTAAAGTAAAGTGTGAATAATGATCTTATGCAATTTGCAGTACCAGCAACTACTGAGGATCCGCAGAACGTCTTTATCGGAGTTGGACTAGGGAGAAATGCCACTTTCAGCTGCTCTGCTTATGGTGGACCTACTGAAACCATTCCTTCCCTGGAGTTCACTTGGACTGGTCCAGTTGGTATTAATGTCAGTATTCAAGTGACAGAGGTGGTCGATGATATAGCTACCAATACTCTGACTCTGGTGAATGTGACAGAGGATTTTGAAGGAAACTACAGTTGCTCTGTGGCCTACAGTGACATACAAATGATCACATATATCTCAGAGATAGCCACTCTCAGTGCTGTCAGTAAGTTTATTCAAATAAAGATTTTCGAAAGTTTTTTTCTTTACACATGCAATTTTTCATACATAGTAGTAGCTACCATCACTGTTATTCAATTATTTCAGGGGGTCCTTTAATCATCACTGAGCCTCCCATAGACTCAGTTGAAGAAAGAGGCAACTCCGTCACTTTTTACTGTACTGCAGTAGGCAACGGGACTCTCAACATCACGTGGCGACTTTCCCTCAGGAGAGGCAGTGTTCACTGGACAGGACACTGAGGAAATCTGGAGAGTCAACTCGACTCTGACTGTGACCAGACATTTCAGCAACCGATGGAGGGAACTATAGTTGTATTGCTGAGAATGAAGCAGGGGCGGTTGAAGCCACTGCGAGCCTATGGATCAGACTGTACACCAATGAGTCCCTGGTGCTCCCGATACTCACCACTACCAATGGAACAATGGAGAGACTCATCTGTCCAATAGAAGGGTTCCCAGTCAGCTACAGGTGGGAGAAGGGCATGGAATGCAGTGGGTCAGACAGTGCATCAGGCAGTGGTAGTAGTGGTGGAAATGAACAGGTGTTCACTAGAGTCAGCATTGGGCGGGTCCTGGAATTCAATCCAGCGGTATTCGGTGACGAGGGAGTGTACCGGTGTGTGGCCACATCTGTTGAGGCACGGACTCAGGTCTCAGATCCAACATCAGTCACAAGTGAGTAACCCTCCCCATGCCTCATCTACATTTCACTTCCCTTGAGGCTTATCACGAGTCGTTAAACATACCCTTAACCCCTCCAACTACATTTCTATATGTCAGCATTGCAAGATGTAGCTGTACATCAACTGTATACACACAATCACTCAATTGTGTGGCTAATGTTCTCCCACAGTCTCTCCTGAGGGAGGTGTGACAGGAACTCCAGTGGGGGAAGTGTACCAAGAGGGAGACAATGTGCAATTCACATGCACCTCACTAGGAGGACCAGACAACTCTGTACAGTGGCTGAAAGACGGGGAGAACTTTACAGGTGTAGTAGACAACAGTTCCAACACTCTTCTTCTTATGATGATTACAGTGGTGGATGATGGAGGCATCTACACGTGTGTAGCTAGTAATGCTGCGGGGAGTGGAAGTGCAAATGTCAGCCTGTTAATCAGTCCAGTGTTCATTGAAGACCCAATGGATGAGGAGATTGTCAACGGAACCTCAGTAACATTCAGTTGTACCGCACTAGCCTTCCCTGATCCAACGTACATGTGGTACAGAATGGGCAACGAACTGCCGCAGTCAGCTACCGGAACAAACACCTCGATGCTAACTCTGTCTCCTGCTGTGTTTGGTGATCAGGGAGTATACCACTGCAACGCCACCTCTAGTGGAGTCTCTTTACAATCCGAACCAGCAACTCTCACCAGTTAGTCATTCTCTCTCCGATTACCCTGTTTAGCATTAATTGTGTCTTTTCCCCTGCAGTATCCCCTGATGGTGGAGTGATTATCACGCCAGACAACATGACCTTTAACGATACGGACTCTGTCGAACTGAGTTGTATCACTCTAGGAGGACCTGCTAACTCTTTTCAGTGGAGCTTCAATGGAGAAGAGCTGGAGAATGAGATTACAATGATTCTCACTCTTCCCAATGTGACTGCCAAAGACGGCGGAGCCTACACATGCAATGTCACCAATTCAGCGGGGTCTGAAACTTACACTACGTATGTGTTCATCAGTCCATTGATAACTCTAAATCCCGTTCATTTCAATGCTACGAATGAAACCAACGAGGTCAACTTTACCTGTGATGCTACCGGTTTCCCTGAGCCGTCATTTGAGTGGATAAAGGAGGGTGACCCGGACTTTGCACTCTCCAGCACAAGCACTCTCACCATAGCTCCAGTCATGTTCGGAGACGAGGGCTTCTACTTCTGCCGAGCCACCTCCAATGACCTGGTAGTTGAGTCAGCACGAGCCACACTTTCCAGTAAGGACTCCACTGCAATATTATCACTGGTTGTAATGTTAATTCCCCGCAGTTGCTCCATTTGTTGAGCTAACTCCTGAATTCGCCGTAGCTTATGTCGGGGAACACTTTAATTTCACATGTAATGTAGTAGGAGGTCCAATGAACTCCTTCCAGTGGGAGAAAGACTCTATTGTACTGATGGGTGAGACCAGCAACACACTCCAATTAACTAATGTGGCTGCAGCATTCGCTGGACTCTACCAATGCACAGTGACTAATGCTGCAGGGAGCAGTAGCGACTCAACTCTGCTCTACGTGGCACCCAATGTCATTGCTGGCCCGGAGAATATGACGACCAATGTTTCTTTGAGTGTAACCTTCTCATGCATGGCTGAAGGTTACCCAGTTCCTGACATTGTCTGGGAGTATGAGGGAAACAGTGAAAGAAACGGCAGCAGTTCTGGTTCTCCCAGTGACTCTACTAGCAGTAGCCAAACGTACGTGTTGAGCGATGGACAAACCATCATTGTCAACATTACAGTGGAAGAAACTGCTGTGAATAGTACTCTTACTGTAGATAGTGTTGAATATGACAACTTTGGCGTCTACCGCTGCATAGCCAACTCCAGTCTTTTGAATAGACTTACATCAGCCGAAGCAACTTTGTCTGGTAAGAAATTCGTATCCCTCACTGCCTACCTTCATGTGCAATATGTATGCCCTTATCTCACCATTACTGGTTGAACTTCCCCTTCAGTCTCTCCTGAGGGCAGTGTAGTCATCACACCACCCGGAGTGAACGCCACTATGAGAGGCGGAGAGCACACGCTGACATGTTCAGCTGAGGGTGGGCCAGGGAATGCGGTGAGTTGGGTCAAACTGGGCAACGAGACTGAGATTTCTGACAGTCCAGAGCTGGTGATCGCCATAACTGATGCATCAGTTGGAGGTGTGTATCAATGTACGGTAGAGAATCTTGCAGGGTCTGACTCAGCCACGGCAGTCTTAAACGGTGAGCTAAAAACCTCCCACTTTATGCACCATTTCATGAATGATCTCTTCTTTCCTAGTCATTCCTGTTTTTACCGATGAGCCAGCTGATATGAATGTCACAAGGACTGAACCTCTGGTGTTGAACTGCAGTGCTAACGGATTCCCACGTCCAGAGATAGTGTGGCTCCACAACGGAACTGCACTGGAGAACACCAGTGGAATCATTATAACCGAGACCTTCTCTGATGAAGTTGATATCACTAGCACGCTCTCAGTCATGAGCACTTCCTTCAATAACTCGGGCAACTATACTTGTATAGCGAGGAGCCCTGTTTTTGATGATGTAATGAGTAGACTGGCTCTGGTGCTAATCCAAGGTAAGTTCCCGCTACTGTATAGCTACCAGGATATTGTCATTGTACGTTTCGTCTGCACTCTGCCAAAATTTACAGCTCCAGTATTTTCTCTCTCCCTCATAGATACTCCGGAGCAGCCTCAGAATTTGGCTGCCATTGAAATCAACTCTCGCAACGTAACCCTGCAGTGGATGGAACCTAACCACAACAATGCTCCGGTGACTGGCTACAGAGTGATGTACACTCGTCCAGACTTTCTCATCCTCGGCAGTGGTAGTGGAGATAATGGAATGGAGGTTCTGAGCACTCCCAATGAGACTGTAGTAGTGGCTGGTCTCCACCCTGGTGTGAGAGTACATCTTTACTGTGGTAGCTGTCAATGGTATTGGAGACAGCAGACCCAGTGATCAGGAGGTTGTCACAACACTGGAGGAAGGTCGGTTTGGAATCTGCTAATACAAACAGTTTTCATGTCTTTTCTTACTCCCACAGTTCCCAGTGGTTCGCCTGAGATATCTGCAGCTGAGGCCTTGTCACCAACTACGATTTTTGTGATGTGGATGGAGGTTCCTCCAGTGGAACGGAACGGAGTGATTTCAATGTATGAGGTACGCTATGTACCTCTGGAGACATGTAGTGGGACACTTATGGCAAGCATCATTAGTATTACCAATACTAGTATGACATCCACCACTCTGACTGATCTGAAGGAATATGTGGAGTACAATGTTAGCATCAGGTCCTACACTAGTGTGGGGCCTGGACCATACAGCAACAGTGTTGTGGAAAGAACAGAAGAAGATGGTAAGTGTCTCTCGCATACAAATGTGCATACAAATCTGCAAACCGTTTTTCCTTATTCAGCGCCTGACGTGAAGCTAAATGCAACAGCCATCGCTCTCTCTGAAACAGAAATTGCAGTGTGTTGGGTTGAGCTGCCCGATATCTGTCAAAACGGCAACATTACGGTATATGAGATCCGATACGAGCCTCTAGACACATTTGGAGTATTAGTCACTCGCTTTGAGAACGTGACTGCACCAACGACAATAGAGACTCTGACTGATCTGGAGGAAAGTGTGGGGTATAATATCAGTGTTAGGGCCTATACCAGTGTGGGACCTGGGCCATACAGTGACCCAGTCACTGCAATGACATTTGAAGACAGTAAGATATACTCTCTTGGTGTGGCAAGTTCCATTAATATATCTCTTCCACAGGTCCGAGAACTGCTCCCCGCAATGTAACCACCATGGTTCTGTCGTCTACTGAGATCCTAGTCACATGGGAAAGGGTTTTGCCTATTGACGAGAATGGAGAGATCTTATTGTATGAGGTTGAGTTTGTGCCCCTGGAGACATTTGATATGGATATGTCTACTAACACGACCAACACGACGTCGCTGAATATCACTCTAACTGATTTGGAAGAGGATGTGGACTACAATATCAGTGTGAGAGCCTTCACTAGTGCGGGGCCTGGACCATACAGTGATGCAGTCACCAATAGAACACTTGAAGACCGTAAGAGAAGGAATCATATATTGTGTGCTTGTTTGTCAATCACAATACGTATATATAGGTCCCACAGCAGCACCTCAGAATGTAACGACAATGGCTGAATCATCAACTGAGATCCTGGTGACTTGGGAGGAGGTCCCTGCTATTGATGAGAATGGAGACATCACTATGTATGAGGTTGAGTACATGCCTCTGGAGACATTCAACGGACAAATAGCCACCAATTCAGTAACTGTTGATCCAACTCTGCTGAACACCACCCTGACTGGTCTGGAAGAATATGTGGACTACAATATCAGTGTGAGAGCCTTCACTAGTGTGGGACCTGGACCATACAGTGATGCAGTCACCAATAGAACCCTTGAAGAACGTAAGAGAAGGAATCATATTGTGTGCTTGTTTGTCAATCACAATACGTATGTATAGGTCCCACAGCAGCACCTCAGAATGTAACGACAATGGCTGAATCATCAACTGAGATTGTGGTGACTTGGGAGGAGGTCCCTGCTATTGATGAGAATGGAGACATCACTATGTATGAGGTTGAGTACATGCCTCTGGAGACATTCAACGGACAAATAGCCACCGATTCAGTAACTGTTGATCCAACTCTGCTGAACACCACCCTGACTGGTCTGGAAGAATATGTGGACTACAATATCAGTGTGAGAGCCTTCACTAGTGTGGGACCTGGACCATACAGTGATGGGATGGTTGAAAGAACACTAGAAGATGGTAGGAAGTCTTTCTAACATTTCCCCGGAGTCTAATACTCTATCCTTTCTTCCAGCGCCTGCTGCAGCTCCACAGAATGTGATGGCCACTGCAGTGTCTTCCACTGAAATCCGAGTCTCGTGGGAGCCAGTTGCTCCTATTGACCAGAATGGAGTCATCACTATGTATGGGGTTAGGTTTGAGCCTCTGGAGACATTCAATGGTGTACTAGTCACAGAGACAGTCAACACAACTGGTCCAGTACTGAGAATGAACCTGACTGGTCTGGAGGAGGATGTGGAGTACAATATTAGTGTAAGAGCCTTCACTAGTGTGGGACCTGGACCATACAGTGTCGGCACTGTCGAAAGAACAGATCAAGATGGTATCTAGTACAGGTCTCCAGCTTGCATTATTGTTTTCATTGTATATTCCCCATGCAGTCCCTGATGCACCTCCACAAAATGTGATGACTGTCTTGTCTTCCACCGAGATACAAGTATCGTGGGAGGAAGTCCCTGCAATAAATCAGAGTGGATCTATAACCTTTTTCGAAGTTCGATACAATCCTCTAGAGACATTTAATGGATCATTATCCACTAACACCACCATTACCACAATGCTGGGCATCACTCTAAATAGTCTGGAAGAAAATGTGGACTACAATATCAGTGTAAGGGCCTATTCAGTTATTGGACCTGGACCATACAGCGAAGGAGTAGTTAAGCGGACTGACGAAGATCGTAAGTATCAACTTCAGAGCTAGCAGTGTTACTCTTCTCCCATTTCTATGCCAAACACAGAGCCTGCGGCAGCCCCTCAGAATGTAATGACTATGGCTGAATCATCAACTGAGATTGTGGTGACTTGGGAGGAGGTCCCTGCTATTGATGAGAATGGAGACATCACTATGTATGAGGTTGAGTACATGCCTCTGCAGACATTCAACGGACAAATAGCCACCGATTCAGTAACTGTTGATCCAGCTCTGCTGAACACCACCCTGACTGGTCTGGAGGAGGATGTGGACTACAATATCAGTGTGAGAGCCTTCACTAGTGTGGGACCTGGACCATACAGTGATGGGATGGTTGAAAGAACACTGGAAGAATGTAGGAAGTCTTTCTAACATTTCCCCGGAGTCTATATAATACTCTATCCTTTCTTCCAGCGCCTGCTGCAGCTCCACAGAATGTGATGGCCACTGCAGTGTCTTCCACTGAAATCCGAATCTCGTGGGAGCCAGTTGCTCCTATTGACCAGAATGGAGTCATCACTATGTATGGGATTAGGTCTGAGCCTCTGGAGACATTCAATGGTGTACTAGTCACAGAGACAGTCAACACAACTGGTCCGGTACTGAGAATGAACCTGACTGGTCTGGAGGAGGATGTGGACTACAATATTAGTGTAAGAGCCTTCACTAGTGTGGGACCTGGACCATACAGTGTCGGCACTGTCGAAAGAACAGATCAAGATGGTATCTAGTACAGGTCTCCAGCTTGCATTATTGTTTTCATTGTATATTCCCCATGCAGTGCCTGATGCACCTCCACAAAATGTGATGACTGTCTTGTCTTCCACCGAGATACAAGTATCGTGGGGAGGAAATCCCTGCAATAAATCAGAGTGGGATCTATAACCTTTTCGAAGTTCGATACCATCCTCTAGAGACATTTAATGGATCATTATCACTACACCACCTTACCACAATGCTGGGCATCACTCTAAATAGTCTGGAAGAAATGTGGACTACAATATCAGTGTAAGGGCTTAGTGGTCAGTTATTTTTGTGGGGTGGGGTTTTGTGGTTTTGTTGGTTGGTGTGGTTTTTTTGGGGGTTGGTGGTTTTGGTTTGTGTTTTTTTTTTTTTTTTTTGGGTGTTTTGTGTTTGTTGGTTTTGTTTTTTTTTTGTGGGTTGGTTTTTTGGACCGGACAATACAGAGAGGAGTAGTTAGCGGACTGACGAAGATCGTAGTATCACTTCAGAGCTAGCAGTGTTACTCTTCTCCATTACTATGCCAACCACAGAGCGCGCGCAGCCCCGGCAGAATTGTAATGACTATGGCATGAATCAATCAACTGAGATTGTGGTGACTTGGGAGGAGGTCCCTGCGATTGATGAGAATGTGGAGACATCACTATGTATGAGGTTGAGTACTGCCTCTGCGATCATTCAACGCCGCCGCCGATTCAGTAACTGTTGGTCCAGCATCTGCTGAACACCACCCTGACTGGTCTGGAGAGGAGGATGTGGTGACTACAATATCAGTTGTGAGAGCCGTCCACTAGTGCGGGCCTGGCCCATACAGTGATGGCGTCACCATAGGACTCTTGAAGAGCCGGGTAAGAGAAGGAATCATATTGTGTGCTGGTTCGTCAATCACAAACGTATTGTGTAGGTCCACAGCAGCACCTCAGAGATGTACGACAATGGCGTGAATCATCAACAGAAAGATCGTGGGTTCTGGGAGAGGTCCCGGCTATGATGAGAATGAGACATCAGTATGTATGAGGTTGAGTACATCTCTGGAGGAGGAATGAAAAAAAAGAAAGGCTTCTGCTCCATGAATCAAGTTAAGGATTAAAATGACGATACAATATAAAAAAAGACCTCCACGTCCCCACTTCCATCTGAAAACTGAGAGAATAGCGTCAGTAGAAGAAATAAAACAGAACAATTTGCGGGAGAATACCGCAAGTAAACCATCAAATAAGAAAAAAAAACAAGATAAGAGAAAAAACCAAAAAACATAAAAAAAGAAAACAACCCGAACAAGAAACTCATAGCCTTATACAAGCAAAAAAAAGAAAACGGTAGGTGATTAGACACAGACTAACAAAAAGAAAGGACCAAAAATGATAAACAGAAGAAAGCGAACAATACAACATAAAAGAATGCATGCAGGCGGAGTGAGACTATAGACGAAGAAAAAAGGGGAGACAACAACACTGTATTAAAAGATAGAAACGCAAATCATAATCCGACAGAAAAGAAGATAAACTCATAAGCCTCCAAACAACAAAAGATATTCAACAGAAATGAACACCCATAACCGAAGCGACAAAGGCACTCACATACCATGACCACCACTAAACACCCACAACTCAATAACAACACAAATCCACGTAAAAAAAATGAGAAAACAACCAAAAAAATTCAAAACCAAATAGAAAAAACTGTAAGCCAAATTAACTAAGAATTATCTTATATAATAAGACACTTATAAAAACAAACAACTCAAAGCCGAAAACTAAATCTCGGGAAACAGAAAACCAACTAAAAACAACTAGGAAATAGACTTCGCCATTAAGGAAAAAACCAAAATAATATTAAAAAAAGCTCCACACAGAAAGACTTAATCACATAAGAATATGAAGGTCAAGGATAAAAATAAAGAATGAACAACTAAACAAATAAACGAAAAAAAGGCAAAAAAAGAAAACCGACACAAAAAAAGAAAAGTACATGTTGCCTATAGTTGGTTGGGCAAATTTCGTTTCGTTATTTGTTGTGTAGAAAAAACAAAGAGAAAAAAAAGAACAGAAACAAATGCAAGAAAAAGAAAACAAAAGAAAAAAAGAGAAAAGACAAAAAAAAAAAAGACGACAACCCAATTGTTAGAAAAAGAAAAAAAGAAAAAAAAAACTCAACATTCAACGACAAACGACAAATAGGCCACCCATTCCGTAACTGTTGATCCAACTCTGCTGAACACCACCCTGACTGGTCTGGAAGAATATGTGGACTACAATATCAGTGTGAGAGCCTTCACTAGTGTGGGACCTGGACCATACAGTGATGCAGTCACCAATAGGACCCTTGAAGAACGTAAGAGAAGGAATCATATTGTGTGCTTGTTCGTCAATCACAATATGTATGTATAGGTCCCACAGCAGCACCTCAGAATGTAATGACTATGGCTGAATCATCAACTGAGATTGTGGTGACTTGGGAGGAGGTCCCTGCTATTGATGAGAATGGAGACATCACTACGTATGAGGTTGAGTACATGCCTCTGGAGACATTCAACGGACAAATAGCCACCGATTCAGTAACTGTTGCTTCAACACCACTGAGCACCACCCTGACTGGTCTGGAAGAATATGTGGACTACAATATCAGTGTGAGAGCCTTCACTAGTGTGGGACCTGGACCATACAGTGATGGGATGATTGAAAGAACACTAGAAGACGGTAGGAAGTCTTTCTAACACTTCCCCGGAGTCTAATACTCTATCCTTTCTTCCAGCACCTGCTGCAGCTCCACAGAATGTGATGGCCACTGCAGTGTCTTCCACTGAAATACGAGTCTCGTGGGAACCAGTGGCTCCTATTGACCAGAATGGAGTCATCACTATGTACGGGGTTAGGTTTGAGCCTCTGGAGACATTCAATGGTGTACTAGTCACAGAGACAGTCAACACAACTGGTCCAGTACTGAGAATGAACCTGACTGGTCTGGAGGAGGATGTGGAGTACAATATTAGTGTAAGAGCCTTCACTAGTGTGGGACCTGGACCATACAGTGTCGGCACTGTCGAAAGAACAGATCAAGATGGTATCTAGTACAGGTCTCCAGCTTGCATTATTGTTTTCATTGTATATTCCCCATGCAGTGCCTGATGCACCTCCACAAAATGTGATGACTGTCTTGTCTTCCACCGAGATACAAGTATCGTGGGAGGAAATCCCTGCAATAAATCAGAGTGGATCTATAACCTTTTTCGAAGTTCGATACAATCCTCTAGAGACATTTAATGGATCATTATCCACCAACACCACCATTACCACAATGCTGGGCATCACTCTAAATAGTCTGGAAGAAAATGTGGACTACAATATCAGTGTAAGGGCCTATTCAGTTATTGGACCTGGACCATACAGCGAAGGAGTAGTTAAGCGGACTGACGAAGATCGTAAGTATCAACTTCAGAGCTAGCAGTGTTACTCTTCTCCCATTTCTATGCCAAACACAGAGCCTGCAGCAGCCCCTCAGAATGTAATGACTATGGCTGAATCATCAACTGAGATTGTGGTGTCTTGGGAGGAGGTCCCCTGCTATTGATGAGAATGGAGACATCACTATGTATGAGGTTGAGTACATGCCTCTGGAGACATTCAACGGACAAATAGCCACCGATTCAGTAACTGTTGATCCAGCTCTGCTGAGCACCACCCTGACTGGTCTGCAAGAATATGTGGACTACAATATCAGTGTGAGAGCCTTCACTAGTGTGGGACCTGGACCATACAGTGATGGGATGGTTGAAAGAACACTAGAAGACGGTAGGAAGTCTTTCTAACATTTCCCCGGAGTCTAATACTCTATCCTTTCTTCCAGCGCCTGCTGCAGCTCCACAGAATGTGATGGCCACTGCAGTGTCTTCCACTGAAATCCGAGTCTCGTGGGAGCCAGTTGCTCCTATTGACCAGAATGGAGTCATCACTATGTATGGGGTTAGGTTTGAGCCTCTGGAGACATTCAATGGTGTACTAGTCACAGAGACAGTCAACACAACTGGTCCAGTACTGAGAATGAACCTGACTGGTCTGGAGGAGGATGTGGAGTACAATATTCGTGTGAGAGGCTTCACTAGTGTGGCACCTGGACCATACAGTGATGGGATGATTGAAGAAACAGGTAAAAGCAGTGGACTCCCTTGCCTACCCTGACTCCTCTGACTCCGCACCTAGACTCCATTCATTGACTTCTAGGAAGTCTAGGCAGTCAAGGAAGTCTGCGGAGTGAGGAGAGTCCGGGGAGTCCAGCCGAGTCCGGGGAGTCTGGGGAATCCGGGGAGTCTAGGGAGTCCAGGGAGTCCAGGGAGTCTAGGGAGTCTAGGGAGTCCGGGGAGTCCAGGGAGTCTAGGGAGTCTAGGGAGTCCGGGAAGTCTAGGGAGTCCGGGGAGTCCATTGGAGTCTAGGGGAGTCAAGGGAGTCTAGGGAGTCCGGGGAGTCCATTGGAGTCCATTGGAGTCTAGGGAGTCAAGGGAGTCCGGGAAGTCTAGGGAGTCCGGGAAGTCCATTGGAGTCTAGGGGAGTCTAGGGAGTCAGGGGAGTCAAGGGAGTCTAGGGAGTCCGGGGAGTCCATTGGAGTCTAGGGGAGTCTAGGGAGTCAGGGGAGTCAAGGGAGTCTAGGGAGTCCGGGGAGTCCATGGAGTCTAGGGGAGTCAAGAGAGGAGAGTTTCTTGGGAGTTCCACTGTTATATACAAAGTTTCAATAGGCGTACTACATGTACACGTCAATTGAAAATTCCTTCTCATTAGTGTTAGTATTCTTCTAGGAGCTTCACCCCCCACTGGTGTGACAGCAGTCCAAGACGGTCCCACTAGTATCACCGTGTCTTGGGTTCCATCCAGTGATGCCACTGGCTACATTGTCTCCTACACTGGAGGTAGCAGCAATGGTAGTGAGACTGTCAGTGGTGGAGATACCAACAGCTACACTCTGACTGGTCTCACCAATGGACAGACCTACACCATATCCATTGTAGCTACATCTGAATACCTCTTCAGTGATGCCGCCACATTTGAAATCACACTAAGTAAGAGAGAGATAGGGTCCTACAGCTCATCTAAATGTAATCCCCTATTCCAGTCCCAGCTCCAGGACAGGTGTTGGTGTCAGTGAGCTCCATCACAGCCACCTCTATCTCCCTCTCCTGGAATGTGTCCAGTGGGAGGGTGGCCAGTTGGGAGGTGGTCTGGAGACCCACTGACAGAGGCACTGAGAGCACCAGTGGTCCTCTGTCTGGCACTACCTACACCATCAACCAGTTGGACCCCTCCACTATCTACATCCTCACTGTTAGAGCCACTAATGTAGCTGGAACCACTGACAGCACTCCCATCCTTTTCCGCACTGGTGTGTAATGATATTCAACAATGTTTTATTATCATTCATTCCCTTTTAATGCAGTGACTGAAGTTTTCCAGCCAGACAGTTCAAGCACTGAGACAGACACTTCAACCATTATCGGTGGAGTAGTGGCTGTGGTGATCACTACTTCCCTAACAGTCGTAGTGATAGTGGTTCTACTGTTAAGAAGTCGCAGTGGAAATTACTCTGCAAAAACAAGGCAGGAGATACACTCTTACATTGTTATGACACATGTCATTGGATTTTATACAGCGCTACAGTTGTAGCTACAAATCAATCAGTGGAGCTCTCCAACTTCTCAGAGGCAATTTATGCGTAGGTCTCCCCATACAAAACACTGTGAGCTGATTTATATACCATTGATGCCACACAGAGATCCAGACGAGCTCCAGACCACCAGTAACGAGGCCTACAATGTAGTGAAAGGGACTGGAAGGACAGCTGAAGGTGAATATGAGGTACTACAAGACCTCCCTTCTCCCACCTCCTCCTCTGGGCCTACCACTACTGATGCTGATGGAGACTATGAACCAGTTTGACTGTGGACATGGCTGGTGCACAGAGCCCTCCTCTGGACACTGCTTTTGCCATGTGAATGTTAATACTATGTCAATTTGTACACCTCAACAGAATGTTAGCTCACAGGTGCAAGCGTGGCGTCTTGGTTCGGGCCAAGTAGCTAACCAAAATTGATGGATATAACGGAAATTAAAGCACGACTTGGGGCACACAGTTTGAAACAAATGGAACAAACAAAAACAGGACAACAAGGAACAAAACAGACAGGAAAGTCAAATGAGTTGCGTAATGATGTGTATACGCGCATGCGCGCCGAAAATGGGCGTTGCCCTACGCGTGACCACCACACTCCTGGAGAGCCTGTAATACGACGGCCGATCAGTTCAAGCAGTATGGCAGCGAGCTATCCTCCCCAGCAGGGGCTTGCCCCCATTCCACAGCGATAATACGTAGTAGATGAGTGGAGACGAATTAAAAGAGGCATAATAAGTAAATCCTGCGAATTTAAAAAAAGAGGCATAATAATTATAGGGATGGTATAAAAAGAAAGGGAGAAAAGATAGGGATGGGATTCATGAAGCATGGTTAATGAACAGAATTGAGTATGCTGACACCCCCAACCCCATCACACAATCCCTATATTGTAGCCGAGTTGTAGTAGAGTTCCATGTTGAGTGAGGGGTGAGGGAACGACACTATGGGTGGTATGGTAGTAAACTCCTTCCGAGTGATAAGAAGACATTACTTGTAGATAGGTGGCTGGTGCATCTATGTGGTGTGTGTGTGTGTGTGTGTGTGCATTGTCTGTCTGTAATAATCTGCACCAGAAACACACACTGTCTCAGGTTATGATTATTGATACCAACCTGGAGTAGGTATAATTATAAACAGAGAGCTAGTAGGATATAGCTGCAGTTCCCTCTCCGGGTGCGGTCTGATGGATAAGGCGTCTCACAGACTTGATTATGAGGTCAAAGGTTCGATCTCTGTATGATATAATGTGAGTGTCACTTCTACTTGAAAGTCCGAGTAGCTAAGTGGTTAGAGATATGGGGACCGTCAGCATAAGGTGCTGGGTTCGATCCCCGGACCCGCACTGAAACTGACAGGTGGTCCAGAGCATTGGCTGGGAACAGCTCTGGTTCCTCCTCTTACCCACGAATCTACCATTGACCCACATACATCTCAAAGGACAGCGTACTGTTTGGCATTACACTACAGTAATAGACATCTGTCTGGAGAGATGTAGGGCTGGCATTCAACCCGTAGAATATGTTTGTGTTTGCACAAGTAAATGTGTTTATGTTTATGCAGAAGCCTCTCAAAATAACCATTTAGGATTGCCCTATGTCCGTCACTATTTTGGGTGTTTCTACAGATTGCCTATGTCCATGACCATTTTGGTGTGTACATATGAGAACGGTAACTCTGTCAAGACAACCCATCCACCTAGTATATACCTTGCATGCGTATAGGTTTGACGCTTCTCTCTCTCTCCTTTGCTTTGTACAGAACCTAGGGACGAACGTCAGTTAAGCAATCTCATATATAGCAAGGGTCACACTAAATATTTTGCCTTTCCAGCCCCAACTCCTCCAAGGAGCAAGAGTAAGTTTATACATAATTTATACACAGATATGCACTTTCTCTTTCCCTATCCCCCTCTCTCCCCTTCAGGGCACAGCGATCAATCTCATAGCAACCAAATGGTAAGCAATGCTGCTTTTCTAAGCACACAGGACTAAATTTGTGCATACTCATCGCCCTGTGCAGTGATAGTGGCAGAGAGTGTATGTCGAAAGGGTGTACTCGGGGTTCCCTACTCCGATGCATATCCAGTCCAGTATTGCTCTCAAACCCTACCCACCCCACTGATGCAGCTAGCAAGCTCCATCCTAACTTTTTTCTTTCCCATTTTTCCATGAACCCCTCCCCATACCACCTCCACCCTCCTCCTCTTCCTCCTTCCTGCAGGACACTCCTGAGAAGGCCAGTGCTCTACTGAAAGAGAGATATAGCTAGGCCTGGCAGAGTCCAGCAAACCTCTCATTCCTCTGTACATTCCACAGAGACTAGTAATGAACTGAGCTCAGTCTAACTGGCGAGCGAAGGGAGCCGGGCTATTATGCACTGCACATACAATCGCATTGCATTCTCTAGCAATCCCCAATTATGGATCGCCTTAGAGGGGTATATAGTCCGATTTGCGCGGATTACAGCCCCTCCTCCTCCTCCTCCTCCTTCCTGCAGGATACTCTTGAGAAGGTCAGTGCTCTATTGAATGAGAGATATAGGCCTGGCAGAGTCCGGCAAACCTCTCATTCCTCTGTACATTCCACAGAGACTAGTAATGAACTGAGCTCAGTCTAACTGGCGAGCGAAGGGAGCCGGGGCTACAATCGCATTGCATTCTCTATATAGCAATCCCCAATTATGGATCGCCTTAGAGGGGGAGGGGGGGTAGTCCGAGGTCTGTACAGCGCGAGAGTGGGCGTGGATAATTCTCCGCGCGCGACGACGTCACAAAAGCTGTGAAGGAGACGATGCTGCAGTGTGAAGTGTGGATAGGTTTGTTAGTATTCTCTACAGCGGTAACAATTGTTGCAGGACAATGTAAGCGTTTTTAGTATGGTCTTTAAACCAAGATTATCACACGGTTGTGGTCGCAGCAATTGTGGTTGGAGGAGGAACATACGAATACGGAGTGGATATCACTCTCCGCTGTTTTGTGGCTGGAATAGATCCACCACACAATGTCACTTGGCAGGTCCCAGAGAGTAGTACCAGTTTAGAAAGGGGGCTGCTAGTCGATAACACTGATGTTCCTTCCCTGACATTTGAAGCTCGTAGAGAGGATGGAGGTGACTACACCTGTCAAGATGTTGGCAGTAATGCAGAACTAATTAAAGCTACGGTCACAGTTGGTAATAAAATCCCTTTGCTGTTATGAGTTATTATCACAAACACAGTTCCAGCCATACTGATGGGACCAGAGGATATGATTCTGGAGTACAGTGATGTCCTGACAGCCACATTCACCTGCACCACTTTTGGTGGAGATGATGCTCCACTAGCAATTGACTGGCTGTCTCCAGCTGGTGTTACAGGATTGAATATCAGTTCAAGAATTGATGGCATAAATGCAGACAACAGCACAACTAGCTCGATCACTACTCTTCCTCTTTCACTGAGTGATAGAGGAAGTATGTATGCGTGTGATGTAACCTATGAAGGTGCCCCCAGTGATGTCACTGACGCATTAGCTAGTGTGGACATTGGTGAGTATACATGTAAAGTAAATAGTGTGAATAATGATCTTATGTGCTATCTGCAGTACCAGCAATTACTGAGGATCCTAAGAACGTCTTTATTGGAGTTGGACTAGGGAGAAATGCCACTTTCAGCTGCTCTGCTTATGGTGGACCTACTGAAACCATTCCTTCCCTGGAGTTCACTTGGACTGGTCCAGTTGGTATTGATGTCAGTATTCAAGTGACAGAGGTGGTCGATGATATAGCTACCAATACTCTGACTCTGGTGAATGTGAGTTTATTCAAATAAAGATTTTCGAGAGTTTTTTCTTTACACATGCAAACATAGTAGTATATAGCTACATCAGCGTTATTCAATTATTTCAGGGGGTCCTTTAATCATCACTGAGCCTCCCATAGACTCAGTTGAAGAAAGAGGCAACTCCGTCACTTTTTCCTGTACTGCAGTAGGCAACGGGGCTCTCAACATCACGTGGCGACTTTCCTCAGGAGAGGCAGTGTTCACTGGACAGGACACTGAGGAAATCTGGAGAGTCAACTCGACTCTAACTGTGACAGACATTTCAGCAACCGATGGAGGGAACTATAGTTGTATTGCTGAGCATGAGGCAGGGAGAGTTTAAACCACTGCTAGCCTATGGGTCAGACTGTACACAAATGATCATGTCCCTGGTGCAACACCACAACCAATGGAACAATGGAGAGACTCATCTGCCCAATAGAGGGGTTCCCGGTCGAGTACAGGTGGGAGAGGGGCATGGAACGAAGTGGGTTAAGCAGTATTTCAGGCAGTGTGTCAGGCAGTGAGTCAAGCTGCTTGACTCACTGCCTGACACACTGCCAGTTATTTTCCACCACTACTGCTGCAGTAGTGGTGGAAAAGAACTGGTGTTCACTAGAGTCAGCATTGGGCGGGTCCTGGAATTCAATCCAGTGGTATTCGGTGACGAGGGAGTGTACCTGTGTGCGGCCACCTCTGTTGAGGAACAGACTCAGGTCTCAGATCCAACAACAGTCACAATTGAGTAACCCTCCCCACGCCTCACATGTATTGCGTTCACTTTTGGCCTTAGCTAATTCAATTCCCTTGAGGCTTATCACAAGTCGTTAAACAGACAAAGCAACTTTGTCTGGTATGACATTCGTTTATGCCCTTATCCCCCAACTACTACCTATCTTTACGTGCAATGTGTATGCCCTAATCCCCCATGATTACTGGTTGAACTTCCCCTTCAGTCTCTCCTGAGGGCAGTGTAGTCATCACACCACCCGGAGTGAACGCCACTATGAGAGGCAGAGAGCACAGGCTGACATGTTCAGCTGAGGGTGGGCAATGGAACGCAGTGGGTTGGGTCAAACTGGGCAAAGACACAGTGATTTCAGACAATCCAGAGCTAATGATCCCCATAATTGATGCATCAGTTGGTGGTGTGTATCAGTGTACTGTAGAGAATCTTGCAGGATCTGACTCAGCCACTGCAGTCGTAAACGGTGAGCTAAAACCTCCCACTTTATGCACCATTTCATGAATGATCTCTTCTTTCCTAGTCATTCCTGTTTTTACCGATGAGCCAGCTGATATTAATGTAACAAGGACAGAAGAACTTGTGTTGAACTGCAGTGCTAACGGATTCCCACGTCCAGAGATACTATGGCTCCACAGCGGAACTGCGCTGGAGAACACCTGTGGAATCATTATAACCGAGACCTTCTCTGAAGTTGATATCACTAGCACACTCTCAGTCATGAGCACTTCCTTCGAATATTCGGACAACTATACCTGTTTAGCAAGGAGCACTGTGTTTGATGACGTAGTTAGTAGACAGGCTCTGGTGCTAATCCAAGGTAATTTCCTGTGACTGTATAGCTACTGGGATACTTAAAAATTTGTATATGTAACCCCTAAATTTAGTTCATTTTGTAAATTTCTTTTGCACCCTACCAGCTCCAGGGCAGGTGTTTGTGTCAGTGAGCTCCATCACAGCCACCTCCATCTCCCTCTCCTGGAGTGTGTCCAGCAGTGGAAGGGTGGGCTGGGTGGCCAGTTGGGAGGTGGTCTGGAGACCCACTGACAGAGGCACTGAGAGCACCAGTGGTCCTCTGTCTGGCACTACCTACACCATCAACCAGTTGGACCCCTCCACCATCTACATCCTCACTGTATCAGCCACTAATGTAGCTGGAACCACTGACAGCACTCCCATCCTTGTCTCCACTGGCGGTAAATGAGAGTTTTCTTCCATAGTTAACCTCTTTTTGTTTGTTCCAGCCACTGATGTTTTCCAGGCAGACAGTTCAAGCACTGAGACAGACACTTCAACCATTATTGGTGGAGTAGTGGCTGTGGTCTTTATGATCACTACTTCACTAACAGTCGTAGTGATAGTGATTCTACTGTTAAGAAGTCGCAGTGGAAATTACCCTGCAAAAACAAGGCAGGAGATACATTCTTACATTGTTATGACACATGTCATTGGATTTTATACAGAGCTACAGTTGTAGCTACAAATCAATCAGTGGAGCTCTCCAACTTCTCAGAGGCAGTTTATGCGTAGGTCTCCCCATACAAAACACTGTGAGCTGATTTATATACCAATGATGCCACACAGAGATCCAGACCAGCTCCAGACCACCAGTAACGAGGCCTACAATGTAGTGAAAGGGACTGGAAGGACAGCTGAAGATGAGTATGAGGTACTACAAGACCTCCCTTCTCCCACCTCCTCATCTGGGCCTACCACTACTGATGCTGATGGAGACTATGAACCAGTTTGACTGTGGACATGGCTGGTGCACAGAGCCCTCTTCTGAACACTGCTTTTGCCATGTGAATGTTAATACTATTTCAATTTGTACACCTCAACAGAATCTTAGCTCACAGGTGCAAGCGTGGCGTCTTGGTTCGGGCCAAGTAGCTAACCAAAATTGATGGACATAACGGAAATTAAAGCACGACTTGGGGCACAGTTTGAAACAAATTGAACAAACAAAAACAGGACAATGAAAAGCACTAAAGTGCAAACCCTCGGCACACTGTGGAACCCATACACACCACCACAATTGATGGTCTTGACCATGCACCAAAACCAAAAAGAACAGCATGTTATGCACTATTTCCATGGATAGGTTGAAAAAATGCCAGCCCCATTTCTGTTTGAGGCCAAAAGTAGCGAAGTAGCTCGCAGAGAGTCTGACACGGGCTAGCTACAGTAGTAGATATCACGCGAGAGCCATTCGTTGTGACTTCTTGTGCCTTCGAGATAGACAGAGTAAGCGGATCCGGTCGAGCTAAATATAAGCGCATGCGCATTATCCGCCAGTACCCATACGATGCTGGAAGCGCTCTAACTCTGCAACGGATCATTCTCAGAGAAAACCCCACATATATTCTGACCCTCGTCGCCCGTTGGGTAGATGATATCGTTTCTGGGACGAACAGACACCCGAGAAGTGAGATTGAGAGTAACAGACACACAGACACAGACAAACCCGGGTACCCAACTACAGTACCCTCTCTGCGCATGCGCGCCGAGGGTACCAAGAATTAAGTAATGGTGTATATATACGCGCATGCGCGACGAAAATGGGCGTTGCCCCCTACGTGCATGACCACCCCTGGGAGCTCACTGTAGAGCTATCTGGTAGACTAGAATCGACTGTTGGTAGCTAGCTGTAATACGACGGCAGATCAGTTCAAGCAGTATGGCAGCGAGCTATCCTCCCCAGCAGGTCCCTGTGACCAGTGTACCGTCCACCCGTGTGGAGCTCCACCTGTCCTGTAAGAAGCTCAAGGACATGGACCTCCTCTCCAAGTCGGACCCCATCGTCTCTGTCCTTGTCAAGGACGCCAAGAGCAGCTCTTGGAAAGAGGTCCGAGTGTGCATATTAGTCTTGTACATTTCAGGATATCATAGACAATTTAGTTCTGTCCATAGTTCAGTCAGGCTTTTTTGCTTCCACGACCTCCAGGGAAAAGACCAATTTTGTTATGACTGCATGGACTGTAGTGGAGATACAAATCTGAGACAAGGTTGCATGACAAATTTAATTTGTATTCCTTGTGCTGAGGTGGCCATGACATAGCTCCTGCAGATAACATTACCAACAGTAATAGTAAGTTATGACGTAACCCCCCCACACACACACACTAGCACTCCCGCACGGAGCGAATACAGAACTGTCTGGACCCAGAGTTCAGCAAAGCCATCCAGATGGAGTACCGGTTCGAGGAGCTCCAGGTACTCAGGTTCGTCGTGTACGACGTTGACAACGTCTCGCCTACCCTGGAGGACGATGATTTTCTGGGCCAGGTGGAGGTGTCTCTGGGGAACGTTGTTAGTGTTGGGTCCACCACCCTCAACCTTCAGAAAAAGAATGAAACTGGAGAGGGCAAAGGAGACCTTGGAACCATCACCGTATGTATATAATATGCAGTATGTATGTGTCTGATTATTGACGAGCTAACCAAGCCCACCTAGTCATATGAACTGTGCAATTTTAAATAAGTCAACAGCACTGTCATTATACATAAAATGACTTCATTTTCCCACTCACGCGCGTGCTAGAAGTACAAGAGTTCCACTCGCATTTGTTAGTACATTGTAAGTTATGGTGTGTACGGGGTGTGGTGTGAGTAAGATTATGCTCACTTTTCGAGAGTAGTACGTAGCGCTGGTATGTGTAAGAACCTGTTTTCCAACAGATTCTAGGAAGCTAGGTGTCTTCTAATGATATTAGTATTAAAGTCATTTTATATAGGTTGAGGTGGAAAGGGCGGGGCTGTTGTGGTGTCGAACATAACTGAAGCAAAGTAAAGCATGACTAAAGGGAAAACATGAAAGATATGTTGTTCTGTGGCACAGATCCGTGCAGAGGAAGTGAGTCAGTTGCAGTACATGTTGGAGCTAAAGTTCTCAGCACAGGGTCTTGACAAGAAGGTTCGCACTATCTGCTCTGCATTTCCATGTACTGTTTGCCCACACATTCTTCAATATTACTTAGTGTTATATACTTCCTGTCTTTCGTTCCTCAGGACTTCCTGGGTAAGAGTGATCCTTACCTGGAGTTTGCCAAGGAGAATCCAGACGGCAGCTACACCACCACTCACCGCACTCAGGTACCATTTTATACCATACCATACCACACTGACACTCCCATTTTGGATCAGAGATCGTAGTCTGTATTGGCTTACATATCTTTACCAACTGATCCTAAGGAGTCTTCACAGGCCAGCAAAAGCACTCAGCCACTCTATTCCAAGTGAAGCGAGCCTACCTATACTTGTGCCGTTTTAGCCCTAGCCTACCTATGTATATAATATAGTCCTCTGAATTCATGCAGACACCTGTAACGACCAAGCAACTCTGCATCATGAAATGTGCTTGTGTGATCATCACGTACAGCGGTTTAACTATGCTTGCGGGTTGTATTCTCGCGATATGCGTACGTATGTGTCGTCACGCTTAAGAATGTAAATTAGTCACACTTAGGAATGTCACTTCCGTCATTCGTAGGAAGTCTAGCTTCCGCCGTGCACGCAGATTCGTAGTAGGAAGTCTGGCTTCGCGCGCAGTCGTCAGTAGAGCGCGCGCACGTCGCACGAGCGGCCTCAGTCGGACTGTTTACGCATTGGCTGGCAGGCACGAGGGAAAATATGCGCGTGTGCATTCCTAGTTTTCATTTAGAGAAGTTCTTTGAAGCACCTAGAATTTTACAACAAACAATCTGTGCAGTGAGGTACTGATCATAGCATCCACATATAATGTAGTACCATCAACACCTATTATAATGAAAAAGCACTGAAGTGCAAACCCTCGGCGAACTGGGCATGCGCGGTACCGCTAATTGATGGGCTGGGCCAATTTACTCGTGATCTCCCACTAGTAGCTCGGAGTGTGACACGGGCTAGCTACAGTAGTAGATAGCATGCGGGAGTCGATACACGCCCTTCGTTGTGGCTTCTTCTGCCTCCGAGGTACACAGAGCAAGCGGATCAGGTCGGTTAAGCCAGTGCTAATTAGCATATTGGCTTGTTCACTTGGTTTTCACGCCATAACTTCTGAACGCGGCACTTTTACGAAAATCGCCATTTTTAAAATCAAGCCTGTGTATCGCTGAACCCGTTGGTGTCGCTATTTTACCTGTTTGTTGCGCGTGGTGGCAGAAAACGTGGTAACAGACGGACAGACAGACAGACGGACAAACCAAGTACTGTAACCCTCGCTGCGCATGCGCGCCGAGGGTTAATAATTATTATTGTGCACAACATACACTGGTGCCCTCCCTGAGCCACGTACTGCATTCTCTCTCTCTCCAGGTGATAAAGAACACCCTCAACCCAGTGTGGCCTCAGTTTGAGATCTCCAGTCAGACTCTCTGCAGCAGTGACGTGGAGCGGAGGATCAAGGTTTGATTCCCTACAATATCAAAACCCACTACAACATGAGAAGAAGAACAAAACTCCCTATGATAGTGCCACGCCCATTCCTATAATAATATTGAGTACTACTGTACAATAATATATATAATACTTACGTAGTGGTGCAGTAGCTGTTGAGATACAGTACATGCGTACATTGTAGATCACCATATAAGTTGTGCATGTATGTACCCTCACTGTACTTTCTGTTCCCAGGTGACATGTTATGACTGGGATAATGATGGGAGTCACGACCTGATTGGAGTGTTCACCACCTCTCTGTCTGAGCTGATGGAGGGGCAGAGAAAGAGAGCCAAGGTCTGCTTCTTTCTTCTTCATCGTCATCGTCAGTTCTAGAGTTGCATGCTGCAAAGAGGGTTGCATGTAGCGGAGACTGTTCCGTGCGGTGGATAGATAGGTGTTCTGGGATCTCTTACACCCCAAAGCACACTGACAGCCCAAAGTATACTGTTAATGCAGTAACACTTTGTGTGAACTTCATTACACAACTGTGTTACTGCATTAACAGTATGCTTTGGGGTGTGTATACAGTAACCAAGGACCCACACTCTTTATTAAGTGACAATCTTGGCCCTCAGAAAAAGTCATACACTGCTGTGTTTCTGTCCACACGCAGCTGGCCTGGGAGTGCATCAATCCCAAGAAGCAGTCAAAGAGGAAATACAAAAACTCTGGCACTGTCAACTTAGACTCTGTGAAGGTAAAAATGTCTCGATTCCTTGAGCATTTCATAAACCCATGCACACTTGTACCAACACGCAGGTGGTACGGGCCCATTCGTTCCTGGACTACGTCATGGGTGGCTGTCAGATCAATTTCACCGTCGGTATTGATTTCACCGGCAGCAATGGGAACCCCAGGAGCCCCAGCTCTCTCCACTATATCGACCCTCACAAACCCAACGAGTATACGACTGCCCTGATTGCCGTCGGGGAAGTCTGCCAGGACTATGACAGGTTGTACTTACTGTACATTCTCACTTGTACAGGTTTCCCTTTGTCTTGTGTTGCCAGCTGAGTTGCCCTGGTAGCTCAGTTGGGAAAGGAGAGTGTTGTGGGTTCGAATCCCCCCTGGGGCTGTTCTTTTTTCCTCGGAAAAAAAAAGAGCTGTCCTGGGTGTAGTTGACTTGTTTGCTTTGCCTTTGCCTTGCTACCTTGTTGTTGTCACGTGTTCATTCGTCACCAATACTAAACAGCGTAGTTGACCACACAACCAGAACACTGGGTGGGGCCAAAGAAGATATACATGTACAAGAGTTAATGGAGGTGCCTGTCTTACCACACAGACACTAAGCTCAATGGCGACCCTTTGCCACTAGTGTGTAGCCTTCACAATTGGTGCATCTATTGACGTTGTTTGCCTTTGCTTTTGTTCTTTGTTGACGCACACACGTCTCACTCCTGTGTTCTTCATTCAGTGACAAGCTGTTTCCATCTCTCGGATTTGGAGCCAAGATTGGAGGCCAGGTACGTATAAACCTACACAAACCACTATACCTATACAAGCATGGTTATGTATCTCCGTCCTCCTCAGGTGTCTCATGAGTTTGCTCTGAACGGGAACCCCCAGAACCCCTTCTGTGCTGGTATACCCGGAGTGGTCCAGGCCTACCACACTGCTCTCCAGTCGGTTGAGCTGTGGGGACCAACCAACTTTGCCCCCATCATTAACCACGTAGCGAGGTTTGCAGAGCAGGCAGCTGGAAGCCAACAGCATCAGGTATACCGACATGTACCCGCCTCTTTTTTCTCTTGGCATCACGTGGTCTAATATCTTCATGTGTAGCTCTGTAAGAGTGTGCCATTGTTGGGAATGGCAGATTATCTGTTTAGAGGTGTCCCCTATTTCATGGTGAGTGTGCTCCACTGTCATGGTGGTGGTGGTTATGCTTCTCGGACTCAACTGCCATAATGATAGGCCATGGAAAGGAGGGTTTCACGTATTCTGTTTTCAAAGTCATCTGTCATTTACTTTCTTTATGGTATCTATTTTTATGATGTTGTGTGGCAGTACTTCATTCTCCTGATGCTGACGGACGGAGTCATCTCAGACATGCCAGACACCATTCGAGCCATCGTGAGGGCCTCTCGGCTACCCATGTCAATCATCATAGTCGGAGTGGGCGGGGCCGACTTCTCCGCCATGGACAAACTGGACTGCGACGACGGACTGTGAGTCGTGGGCTCATTATGTGCTGTATTTTCAGAGTATAAGTCAAACAGTTTATCAGAGAACTCACTTAAGGGAATGTGGCAGTATTAAACAGCTAAATTTAGAAACTGTTACTGAAAATGGAAACTTGATTGCATTCTTGAACTGTGCCCTCGTGTTAAGTTTTATCTTTAGTAACATTCCTAAATTTAGCCCTTATGTACTAACACATTGCTTTTAAAGGTTTGGCTACACCGTGAGTGTATAGTTTTGCTATTGTTTTCATGCCATAATATACCATGATACCGTTCCGTTTTAATGGAGAAACCTTTCACCTTTCATTAAAATCGCAGAAAAATTTTCTCTGCAGATTACTGGTTCCGCAATACAAATATCCCCACCTACAAAATTTCCCTCCAAATTCTCCCGCTATCCAGTGCCATCTACTCTCACCTATTTTCATACACTCTCCTGTAGATTACGGTATGGATCTGAAGTGGCCGAGAGAGACATTGTCCAATTTGTGCCATTTCGAGACTACAAACAGGTAAACAGGAATCACACACAATGTGCATGATCTTTCATGCATAATTCATGCCGCTAAAAGTAGCACATGCACTCGAGGCTCCAGATCTTACTTATACTAGCAACAGGTACAGTAGCTAATAGTCAAGTCGGCATGTTTTCCTAAAGGGAGAGCAGTTCATGATTGACCTGCAAGCGATGGTCATATTCGTGGATTCTTAGCATTAAACTCTAGTCACCTGGCACCTTGCCAATACCTCTGAGACACCTATTTTACATAATCGCGCCTCCTGGGAACAAATTATAGTCCTGTCCCTTACAGCAGAGTCCCAGTTCCCTGGCTGCAGCTGTCCTAGCAGAGGTTCCACAGCAGCTGACTCAGTACATGAGAAAAAGAGGGATCATACCACCCAATGCAACTCCGTAATTCCTTCCCATCTTTTTTTTCAACAACCAAATCTGTAGGTTTTTAACATAAAAATTTTACAGTGTGTTCAAAGTTGAAATTGTCATTTGTAAAATGAGTACCTATGGAAGAAAGGAAACTTTTTTACGTTGTTTATTAGTGAAGGTAGAGTGTTGGGATCCCAGTCCACGGTGTGACGTGACTCGGAGACAGTCTTGAAGGTCTTGTCGACACACATCTTTAGGTAGTCTGCAGGACACTCCAAATCCAGGAATCGGCAAATGTCTGAGAGTGTCTTGGCAGGATCAGCAATGAGGTCCTCACAGTGGACCTCCAGTGGCGAGAGCCCCAAATCAGGAATCATTCTCATCACCGCTTTGGAGATGTCTAAAACAGACTTAATCGCACTGTTTATAACCCTGGCATCTGAATACTTGTGTGTTTTGGTTGCGTTCACCTTCACATCATGCACGCCAGAACCGCGGTACAATGCCATGGTAGCGATCATATCAAACGGATTCCGAACAACTTGCAGGACCTTTATCGGCACTTTCACGTTTGCCTTGAGCCTTCGATAGACCCTCCTCAACTGGGCGCTGCTCTTGTGGTACATTCTAGTCATGTCTCCTCCACACTTGTCACCTATTACTCTGAGAGTGGTGAACCTGCCTTGCCAAGAACTGTCGATGCTGAGGCTGTAGCCCTTCTGAGTTTGTTTGGTCGTACGCCAGCCTTTCCTTGCATTTGCATAGCTGTTGTTGTAGAGTTGGTTGTACAGTAGTTTTCTGGCGACAAGCTCAGGGTGCTCAACCAGTCTGTCGAAGAGAAAATACTCGTGTGCAACTATCACATTCGGGTGAGCGTCCAGCATGCTCCCAATGATGCTGTGACAGCTTCTCGGCCAGCCCATGAAGATGAGAAAGTGTTCAACGCTGTCCAAATCGGTTCTGTTGAGTGGCCTCCATCCAGGGGCTGGTGTTGTTGCTAACTTACCACGCTTTTTCTTCTGCTGACGCTTTATCACCAGAGGAGCAGTGTTTTTGAGTGGCTGTGGCTGCAAACTAGCTGTGATAATCACATTCTTGGAGATTTCAAACTGAGAAACACTTCCAAGAAGAAGTGCAAAATGAGAGGGTATGTTAATGACCTGTTGACATGTTGAATAGCTACATAATGGCTTTACAATAAATCATGCACTAAAATCAAGCGGGCATCCAACAGCAGATAACAACCCAGGGTATTTACTCCATGAAAAGAGGAGCCACAATCAGCTACAAGGTGAGCACAGTGTTGCCCTATTTGAGTCGTCTATTCATGCCCGTGTGAATAGCCGAATGATGTATGAAGTGGGGGAGAACATTTCTACAATACAACCATTGTGTCAATACAACATGTACTAGGACGATGGTGCATTTCTGTACATGAGGACAGGGAGTTGTATTCACACTGGGCAGTCATTGACATAAGTACAGTGGACTTGCTTGTGGGAATCTTACGGACAATTTGAGAACACAACAACATATGATCCAGTAGCTACCTACTTACAGGGATATGAAGCTGTTACAAAGTGGTGGTAGTGAATGCGAATATAGCTCATAATTACTCTTACCTTGCAGGAGACTGAGCTGTTTCAAAGAGAAATCGGGACTCTTCAACTATAACTATAACTATCACTACTAAAACAAACACAGCGGTATACTTGCATACTCTTGCCCTGACCATCTTCGCCGCAGCGAGACTCAGGATGCCCGCCAGGAGCGCGCTATACCTAGTCGTTCAACTGCGCATGCGTGTGGATTCTCGCGGTCTAAGTCACAAGGATTGGCATGACTGTGTCTAGTAGTGCCACTGCAAGGTCTGGCACGCCTATAATGAAGCTGTAACCAATACTTTAACTCAACAAGATAATACCATCTAGCTATAATATAGCTATGTGCTATGTCTATTGAAGTGCTGCCTAGCTAACTCCACTCTCGATATAGCAAAAGAGTCAGACCTGCGAGACTGTCCTACTATAACTGGAATCTCAATAAACTTAGGAGCATCACAAATTAACATTGTCTACAAAACAGCTGATGATGATATGACTTCTACGGCACCACAAATACGAGAGATTGTTAGTCAAACACCTTAGTTACATATATATGCATTTCTAATAGCAATCAGCTGGCTGGGGGGTTAAGATTCCTGGCTGAGTTCTTCCTCCATTTCCTCTGCCTCGGCCTCAGCATTCATGGCCAGAGTGAGATGGTACTGCAGAAGGGAGGCGAGTGGAGATGATCTGTCGTTGTCAAACATAGCTTCCAGCGGCCTGAACGCCCTATCCTCATCCTCCTCCTCCTCCTCCTCCTCCTCTTCCCTGTGAATCTCCGGGGGAAACTGCCACATCTCCTGTTGAGACTCAAGACCGCCACGAGTGCGATCTCCACCCGACAAGTCAACTGCACTAGTATTACAGTTTGAAGTTATCACACCGTCAAAATCTGTCCTTGGGTCATGGTTGTATCTACAATGGCATGAAAAATCAGTGTTAGTGTACACAATGATGAACTCACTGCTGGGGTCCAGCTGTTGCATAGGCTATTCTCTTGCCGGGGCTCTTCTTCTTGCAAGCTAGGACACAAGCTAGACAAAAGCCAACGACAGTCAATCCAAAAAGCAGCACAATTACGAACACCGCCCCTCCAGTTATGGCCAGTGACGACAACTGTTCCGAGTCAGCTTCAGTGAGAGGAGCTACATCAGTGCACGTTTCTCCTGCCCACTCCCGAGGACACAGACATTTGAAACTCCCTGAATAGTCCTCATCGTCAACACACGTTCCTCCATTCTCACATGGAGCAGAGGCACAGCTAATTACCACCTCAGAACACCTCGTTCTACAATAGTAGCCTGGGAGACAAACACAAACAGTTGCATCACCAAACACTTCATAGCATGTTCCTCCGTTTAAACATGAGTTTTCATCGCAAAATGTTGCAGATGGGTCGTCGTCATCACACGAATCTCCCGTAAATCCACGAACACAGCTGCAGTTAGTGTTTGGGCCGTAATCCTCATTGCAAGTACCGCCATTGCACACATAGTGTTCCTCACAAAACGATAGATTTCGATCATCATCAGCACACGTGTCTCCAGTCCAGCCAACGACACAGTCACATGAAAACTCAGCACCATTTTCTGAGCAGTTCCCTCCATTAGAGCATGGGTTTGGATCACAAGGTAAGGCATCTTCACCACAAGTCATACCAGTCCATTCAGGAGGACAGAGGCACAAGAAAGTTCCCTGTTCCTCATCAATACATGTACCTTCATTTTCACATGGGCTGGAGCTACAACTGAGGAGTGTATCACAGTGCTGTCCAGTGTAGTCCTGATAGCATTGGCACATGTAGTCATTCACAAGATCAGTACATGTCCCGTTGTTGCAGTCTACAGTGTGACACTCGTTGATTTCCTGGTCACAGAGAGTACCATTGAAGCCAGGGTCACAGTCACAGGTGTAGGCCTCAATACCATCCACACAGGTACCATTGACACATTTATTGCACTGACAGTCATCGATATTCTCATCACAGTTGGTTCCTGTGTACCCAGTGGAGCAGTCACAAGTGTAGTGTTGGGAAACGCCACCAGGAGTACAAAATCCATTGTTGACACATGGCATGTTGCTACAAGCATCTGTGGGAATTGATACATTACATAATATGATACATTAGCCACCATCGCTACATTAGCTAGTTTGCTTTTCCTACCTTGGATGCTTCCTCTTCCTCTTGATATAACTTGATCAATATTATCATTATACAAAGTAAAACACATCAAAAGTAATGTCTATCATAAGAGGCACCGGATAGCCAGTTTCTGCAAATTCTGTGTCTGGGTCCTGTACAAGATTGATTGAAGTGTCAAACACTCTATAATCACCAACAGTATCAAGGTTGTTTCCCGTGACAGGTACACCAATAGTGTTGCTGTTATTGGTGACTCCTTCAAACTCAAACAGCTTATTGATTTGCCCTGTTTGTGACAGGCTGATACGTGCGACATCAATATTTTCAATAGACCTGAAGAAAGCCCTGATTTTAAAGACTGGAGTGTTGAGTGGATGACCAATGTGTATGTCCGCATAGTAGACTGTGGCATTCAGGGCTATATTATCTGATTGCACTGACAAAACAATGATAGAATACTAATTGATCAAACAGTAAATCTAATAGAGTTCACTCACATGGATCACAGGTTCCAGTGAGAGTGGTGATACTTCCATTACCAAACTGTCCATCAGGACAGGTCTCCACACAATGACTAGCACTCTCATACAGAGGAAGATCACAGGCTGAACGAAAAATTCTCATTACATAAGTTTAAATAACATTATACACTTACAATGCAAAGATCTTGTTCTAGCTGTAGCATAAAAACTACTGTAGGACACAACAATGCTAAACCTGCAGCATAACAGAATTGTTTTAGAGTATCCACTAGATCGGATGCAAAATACTTACAAAAATTGGATCTCTTTAGCCTCTTGAGATGGAGCCCTCCACCTCAAGACTACTGATGACTTCAGTGAATTACTACTGTGAGTCACTGCTGACTGTGGGGAAACCTCAGTAACTTGGTGTAGTGGTTGTCTTGAAGCTTTACCTCTGGAGGGTTGCAAGAGCTGAGTGTCTGGTCATCTCTATTGTCAATGAAGGTACCAACTGGAGAACCATCTGCCAGAGCTCTGGCCTGTACTAGAAATCCTCTGAACTGCTCACCTCCTGATCCTGACAGAGTCACTGCAGCACATGCCATACATTCATCCTCTGACAGACTGAGGCAGAGCTGGAGGTGACTCACAGGTGTAGTCCTGTCCAGGGACATAGAAGATCTCTCCTCCGTAGGGTTGGTCAAACTCAGAGAGGGACAACTGGAAGGGGTTAGTGGAGGGATCTTGGCAGGTTCCAAGATGTCCCACTGGGTAGATGTCAATACATGCACTGGCTGGAGCTCCAGTGGAGTAGCAATGAACTCCCACCACAACTATCACCAGAAACAACAACACTGATAACCTGAAACTCGTCATTTCTAGGAAAACTTTGCAGATGCCTTTGATACGTTATCTACACAAGCCAAATATGTGAGTGTTGTGTAGTTTTGTTACCCAGCATTATTATTCTAATGGGAATTATGAGACTTGGTTAAAATTAATCATGAGCTGTTTGTGTCTTGAGGTTTGACTCTCCTGGGATGGACAGTTATTCACAACAAACTGTCAAAGACAAAACATGTTTATGTACAGTGTTCAGCAGTCTAGAAAGGTATCTGTTACACAAGGTAGAGAGAATTATCCGCATTCTGACATAAGATTATTCAAGGTTATCACGTGTGCCCATCTACCAACACAGGCATCATTGGTTGCAATAGTGGTGCATATTAATGTCAATGAAACTGTTTGTAGTTACTATGTTTTCAATAATACGGATCTACTGGCCTTTACGACGTGCCTTCAGGCCTCCAGATTCAACGGATGTGTGCAAGTAGTGTGGGTGTCATTGTTCAGTCTGCCACTGAGGAGGGTAGCCTGGTGCTACTGAAAGGTTCGTGGCATTATCATCACTAGACTAGTGAAGACCATCAAAGCATGAACTATGGCGATTATCTACTATTTCTAGTGTGTTTTGATGGTCTAGGGAGTCATTCTCACCGTGTTTTAGCTAGGCTTTATGTACGCGGATCACGTGAGATCACCTGTGCCTACCATGCCCTATGAACTGGTATTACACACACCATATCACACTGTGTTAGGAACTCCTTTGGTTAACTACCGTATGTACAAACTGCACAAAACTGTCACCCACAGGCACGGTTGTGTAACACTCTTGCAGAGCCTATCATCTGCAACAAATACGTTGTAAATTCACCAGACAAGCTCTGTTGATCAAGTAACCATTAGCATGATTCCTAACATCATAAAAAGTATTGAGTCTGTTGGGTGTGATGAGTCAAGATTGGTGAATGTTCTGGCTGAGTTATTCCTCTGTCTCTTCTGAGTTGTCCTCTGTGGTCATGGCCAGAGTGAGATGAAGGGAGGCAGCGGGAGACGATAATGTCTCGTTCTCTGGCGGTACATCTTCTACCACTGGAGTAGACAGCCTCCGGTTCTCCGGCTCAAACTGCCACCTTTCTTCTTGAGACTCGACTTCTGCAGCTTCATTCGCGTAGTAGTTGGAACTTACAATTCCATTTGAATCTGTCCCTTGAAGATTGTACCTACAGCATAAAAATAGTGTTATGTTAGCTATCGCTACGACAGTTATAGTGTTGGACTCACTGCCGAGTCTTGCCACAGTTTTTGCAAGCTAGAATAAAGCCAGCCAAGGAGACCCCACAGAGCAGCAGGATTACCAGCACCAACACTCCAATGGTGACCAGATGTGTTTCAGGGTCATCTTCAGTGAGAGAAGCTCTAGTACCACAAGTCTCTCCTGCCCACTCCCGAGGACACAGACATTTGAAACTCCCGGAATAGTCCTCATCGTCAACACACGTTCCTCCATTCTCACATGGAGCAGAGGCACAGCTAAATGCAGTACAATTAGTCCTAGTATAGTACCCCGAGGGACACAAACAAACAGTTGCATCACCAAATGCTTCCAAGCATGTTCCTCCATTCAAACACAGCTTGTTACCGCAAAACACCACACTTGGGTCGTCATCATCACACGAATCTCCCGTATATCCACTAACACAGCTGCAGTTAGTGTTAGGGCCGTAATCCTCATTGCAAGTGCCGCCATTTGCACACGAGTGTTCCTCACAAAATGCTACAGTTGGATCGTCGTCTTCACAACTGTCACCAGTGAATCCTGGACTACAGTTGCAACTCGTCTTATTTCCATAGCCTTCTACACAGTCACCATTCACGCATACATCTAGCGACGTGTTGCAGAAATCTACGTCTTCTTCACAGTTCATTCCCTCGAAACCTTTTGGACAATCACACAGATATGAGCCTTTTAGGTTTTCACATGTTCCACCATTTTCACACAATGCATCAATAATGCATTCGTCTATGTCACGTGTACAATTCTCTCCAGTCCAGCCCACGGCACAGTTGCATGAAAACTCTGTGCCGTTTTGCAAGCACATCCCTCCGTTATTGCATGGGTTTGGATCACAAGGTAAGGCATCTTCACCACAAGTCATACCAGTCCATTCAGGAGGACAGAGGCACAAGAAAGTTCCCTGTTCCTCATCAATACATGTACCTTCATTTTCACATGGGCTGGAGCTACAGCTGAGGAGTGTATCACAGTGCTGTCCAGTGTAGTCCTGATAGCATTGGCACATGTAGTCATTCACAAGATCAGTACATGTCCCGTTGTTGCAGTCTGCAGTGTGACACTCGTTGATTTCCTGGTCACAGAGAGTACCATTGAAGCCAGGGTCACAGTCACAGGTGTAGTTTGCAATACCATCTACACAGGTACCGTTGACACATTCACTACCAGGACAGTCATCAATGTTCTCAGAACAGTTGGTTCCTGTGAATCCAGTGAAGCACTCACAAGAGTAGTCGGCTCCAGTCCCAGCTGTACAAGACCCACTGATACACGGTTCAAAGGCGAGGCAGGCATCATCAATTTCACTACACCTGCTTCCTGCATAGCCTGCAGGACAGTGGCAGGTGTACTCTACAGAACTAATAGCTTCGCATGTCGATCCATTTGCACACGGTAAGTTGTCACATGGATCTGTGGAATGGTGTATCGCAATGACCCATACACACAGGGATATTATATGACATTCTCACCTGGTGCGAGATATATGGTTCCTGAGCCTATAGATTGTCTGTGAGGAGAGACGTCTGGTGAGAATAACGTATTCAATGTAATGCTGATGTGTAGATCCACAGGATAGTCACTCTCTGCAAAAACAGCTCCCGGGCGTCGCACGAGATTTATAGCAGTGTCAAACACACTGTGATCTCCAATTGAAATAAAGTCTCCAGTGGACACACTGATCGTGTCATATCTGCCTCCTTCAAACTCAAACAGATTATTGATCTGTCCTGTCTGGGACAGGCTGATGTGGGCGTCGAGAAGTCCAACGGTGGAGCTAAAATAAACTCTTATTTTGAAAACTGAACTGTTGAGTGGATAATCGCTGAGTATCTCAGCATAGTAGACGGTAGCATTTAAGGCTATATCATAACTAGTGGGCACTGGGAACAGAAAAGCGGTATAGAATTATATTCCAAACACTGCGTTTGTGCTTACATTGCTGGCATTGTCCAGTGGTGCCATTACCAAACTGTCCATCAGGACAGGTCTCCACACAACGACCATCACTCTCATACAGAGGAAGACCACAGGCTGGGCAAGAGTAATCCACAACAGGACAAATGATTTTTTTAATATAAGCTGCAAAAGCACTTACAATTTAAAGTGATACTTTTAGGTGTGGCATAGAAAGTACTGTTACCCTGTGAATTCTGTACAACAATGCTGAACCTGTCAGAGAAAGTAGTTTAATACGTAGCTAGGGAGCTATATAAAACGCTCACAGAAATCTTATTTCACCAGCTCCTGCTGGTGCTGTCCATCTCAGTGTTACTAATGACTTTAGTGAACTACTACTGTGAGTCACTGCTGACTGTGGGGAAACCTCAGTAACTTGGTGTAGTGATTGTCTTCAAACTTTACCTCTGGAGGGTTGCAAGAGCTGAGTGTCTGGTCATCTCTATTGTCAATGAAGGTACCAACTGGAGAACCATCTGCCAGAGCTCTGGCCTGTACTAGAAATCCTCTGAACTGCTCACCTCCTGATCCTGACAGAGTCACTGCAGCACATGCCATACACTCATCCTCTGACAGACTGAGGCAGAGCTGGAGGTGACTCACAGGTGTAGTCCTGCCCAGGGACATAGTAGATCTCTCCTCCGTAAGTCTGGTCAAAGTCAGAGAGGGACAACTGGAAGGGGTTAGTGGAGAGATCTTGGGAGGTTCCTAGATGTCCCACTGGGTAGATGTCACTACATGCACTGGCTGGAGCTCCAGTGGAGTAGCAGTGAACTCCCACCACTACTATCACCAGCAGTAAGAACAACACTGACAACCTATAGCTAGAAGACTTCATCTTTAGGAGTATAGATATGCAAGCCAGCTCTATCTGGTAAGCTATACAGCTTTATATCTTACATTGTTATTCCAAAGGGAAAACAAGATACGGTGGTAAGAATGTTGTATATTTGTTTGTACTCAGAATGTTTACTATTGTGGGATGCATATTTCGAGTGCTGTTAGTCACAACAAATGTCAAAGGCCAAACATGTTTATCACCACTGTGCCCAGTGGTCTGGAAAGGTATCTGTGGAATGTTATTCAACAGGAGCTTCGCTGAGCCATGCCTTGTCGCAAGTTATTTTTCTTTGCTCAAAATTAGATTTCATAGCAAGCCACATTGCACAATCCGAAAAAAATTACACTTTTTAATGCAATAAGTATTATCTTCTTTATAGTAACAAACTGACTTTTATCTAGCTACACTACAATCTATCTTGACAGTGTATACTGGCAAACGTGTCAAGATTCATAGCTTTCCTGGCTGAGTTCTTCCTCATCTTCAGACTCGTCCTCAGAGCTCAGTGCAAGAGTCAGATTGTACTGTATTGCAGAGAAAGTGGGAGACGATCTGTCGTTCTCCACCACATTCCCCACCGGTTTGAACAGCATGCGGCTCCCTGGCTCAAACTGCCACATCTCCTCTTGAGACTCAACATTTGCAGCGTGATCCCCACCTGCACTTGTGTTGTAGTTGGCCATAACAGCATCGAAACTTGCCACTGACTCATGACTAGAAAACATCTGTGTTAGTGAACAGGTATAAACGTGTGAAAATACTTACCGTTTAGGTGCACCTTTTCTGAAGAATATTTTCCTGCTCCTGTTCTTAGATGCTAGCATAAAACCCACCACAGATAATCCGCAGAGCAGTACAATTACCACCACCAACCCCCAAATAATGGCTAATAATATTATGTATCGTTCAGAATCACCCTCTTCACATATCGGATCAATAACTGCACAAGTGTCTCCAGTCCAGCCCACAGCACAGTTGCATGAAAACTCAGCACCATTTTCCGAGCATATCCCTCCGTTGTTGCATGGGTTTGGATCACAAGGTAAGGCATCTTCACCACAAGTCATACCAGTCCATTCAGGAGGACAGAGGCACAAGAAAGTTCCCTGTTCCTCATCAATACATGTACCTTCATTTTCACATGGGCTGGAGCTACAGCTGAGGAGTGTATCACAGTGCTGTCCAGTGTAGTCCTGATAGCATTGGCACATGTAGTCATTCACAAGATCAGTACATGTCCCGTTGTTGCAGTCTGCAGTGTGACACTCGTTGATTTCCTGGTCACAGAGAGTACCATTGAAGCCAGGGTCACAGTCACAGGTGTAGTTTGCAATACCATCTACACAAGTACCGTTGACACATTCACTACCAGGACAGTCATCAATATTCTCATCACAATCTGTTCCTGTGAATCCAGTGAAGCACTCACAAGAGTAGTCGGCGCTAATGCCAGGTGTACAAGATCCATTGACACATGGCTTGTTGCTACATGGATCTGTAAGATTAAAGAAATAATGGTTTCAAAAGAAAATGCTGGTCCTTCTTTTACCTTGTATACTCCCTCTTCCTTGTGACGTAACATGACTTGCTGACATGACATTGCTATTAGACAGTAATGCATTCAAACTGATGACTATCATCAGAGGCACAGGGTATTCACTTTCTCCAAACTGTGTGTCTGGATGTTGTACAAGATTGATTGAAGTATCAAACACACTGTGATCAGCAATAGGAACAACAATGTCCCCAATCCTGTTATTGCTGCCTCCTTCAAATTCAAACAGTTTATTGATTTTCCCTGTTTGTGACAGGCTGATGCTTGAAGTAACAATATTTGCAGTGGTGTTGAAGAAAGCTCTTATTCTAAAGACTGGAGTGTTGAGTGGTTGACCAATGTGTATCTTGGCATAGTAGACTGTGGCATTGAGAGCTATGGCATAATCTGATGGCACTAGAAAGGAAAGGGATTTATATAGCTATTGGGCAATGTTTGAGGCTCACTCACATGGATCACAGGTTCCAGTGAGAGTGGTGATACTTCCATTACCAAACTGTCCATCGGGACAGGTCTCCACACAATGACCAGCACTCTCATACAGAGGAAGACCACAGGCTGAGCACAAAGTAAAAGGTATCAGGTCGTTACACATTCAAACCTGCAACAGAGTATTATACACTTACAATGCAACGGTTTCGTTCTAGCTGTAGCATAAAATGTACTGTTGGACGCTGAATTCTGAACAACAATGCTGAACCTGAACAGAGGAAGAGAACTAAAATATCCAGTGAGACAAATGCTGAATCTCACAAAAATTGGACTTCTCTTGTCTTTTGTAGTGGAGCTGTCCATTTCAACATCACTGATGACTTTAGGGAATTATTCATGTGGGTGATAGCTGACTGTGGGGAATGGTATATATATAAAGCCCTAGTAGCTAACAGCATGAATTGGCTGACAAGAAGCTATACCTCTGGAGGGTTGCAAGAGCTGAGTGTCTGGTCATCTCCATTGTCAATGAAGGTACCAACTGGAGAACCATCTGCCAGAGCTCTGGCCTGTACTAGAAATCCTCTGAACTGCTCACCTCCTGATCCTGACAGAGTCACTGCAGCACATGCCATACACTCATCCTCTGACAGACTGAGGCAGAGCTGGAGGTGACTCACAGGTGTAGTCCTGCCCAGGGACATAGTAAATCTCTCCTCCGTAAGTCTGGTCAAAGTCAGAGAGGGACAACTGGAAGGGGTTAGTGGAGAGATCTTGGGAGGTTCCTAGATGTCCCACTGGGTAGATGTCACTACATGCACTGGCTGGAGCTCCAGTGGAGTAGCAGTGAACTCCCACCACTACTATCACCAGCAGTAAGAACAACATTGATAGTCGTAAAGACTTCATTTGGTGTGTGCTTCACACAAAGTGGAAACAGTGTTGCATTGGTTATAAAATGGCACTCCCTGTTTATTCTCCTGGGATGGAAAATTATTCACAACAACAATTTTGAAGACCAAATACGCTTATGTAGCTATAGCTACTGTGCTCAGTCGCCTGGAAAGGTATCTTCTAGCTATGGCAGCAGAGCCCCACATCCGGTTTTCAAAGTATGTGAGTGCATGGTCCGCTCACATGCATCACTAGTTGTTTCTTGCCAGGTGGTTGTATTCTTTTGAGTTGGTGAGATGTTCCTTTTTATAACAGGCATTCCAGACAACATGCTCGAAATCTCATATGTTTGAACCTGTGATACATGTGAGTGAATTAACTTTTTCAGTACCTTTTCGTACTGAGTCGGCAGAATAGTTTCCTCCATACCGTTTACTAGCCAATTAAATATAAGCACTAATCCCACATATCCTTTGATCTTCATGCGACGAAGAATGCGTGGCTTCGTTTGTAGTGACTCGAGAAGGAACGGACACACGCACACGTAGACACACCCTCGCGCATGCGCGCCGAGGAACACTGCGCCGTTATTATTATGCTCACGCTCAGACGCGGGGAGTCAGGGAAAATGAGAATGAAGTGTGTACGTAGGACTTTCGTGTTTCTAATTCTGACACTGGGGTTCCTTTGGTTACAGCTTGGACGGCGGTGAGTGCCTTTGCTCACTATATACTACAGTACATAATAGGTGGGAATGCAGGTTAGATGTGTTCCGACACCAATGAAAAACGGGTTTAGCTATGGACAACAAGTTAAATTTTACTTTGGCAAGGCAAAAATCAGTACAAAGTGAAAGATGTTCAACTGCACATGGCATTGTATATACACCAAATCTCTGCTGACTTCGACATGGCAACGATCAGTACAGACTGGAATGTTGCTTACCACATGGCACTGTGCTAACCCCGCTGTAGTATCATGGCAACAGTCAGCACATAAGTGGAATGTAGCTGCTCACCGGATAGTGTTTATTCCTTGACATACAAATACCTAGACTGACTACCTAATGGTCTTAAAATGTACTTCACTCCACAGTATGACTGCCCCATACCTCACACAAACGATCTCTTATGGAAGGAGTGCTGGTAATCTCCCAGAGGCCATGATTCCGCATGACTCAGACACAGAGAGAGCAATGGATAGAGACTCTGTACTAACAACCCTGTCCCATGACCATTTGAGCCAGTCAGATATCGATGGTGTTGAAACATTCCTCCTGTTTGTTGGCTGGCCAAGGAGTTGTCACAGCATCATTGGGAGCATGCTGGACGCCCATCCTAACACGGTTATTGCCCACGAATATGGCCTGTTTCAAAGAATGAACAAAGACAAAGGATTGAGTTTGAACAGAAGTCAACTCTATAACGAGCTCTATAAAAACGCCTATATGTCTTTAACTACTGAGGGTCCGCGTGATTCTAGAAACGACAGAAGAGGGTACACTCTTAACGTTGATGGCTCCTGGCAAGGAAGATTTACATCTCTGAGAGTCATTGGTGACAAGAGCGGAGGCAAGACAGTCATGCAGTACAAGCTAGACAGTGAAAACTTTAAGAGACTGTATCAGCAGCTTGCAGCTAGTGTGAAGGTGCCCATAAAAGTACTGCAGATCATTCGCAACCCACTCAACATCATTGCTACCAACACACTCTATGATAGTTCTTCCGTTCGAGGCACAAAAACTAAAGCAACACATATGAAGAAATATGGCAACTTTACAGTACTAAATAGATCAGCTTCAGTTATCGTTGACATCTCCAAAGCGGTGATGAGAATGATTCCTGATTTGGGGCTCTCGCCACTGGAGGTCCACTGTGAGGACCTCATTGCTGATCCTGCCAAGACACTCTCAGACATTTGCCGATTCCTGGATTTGGAGTGTCCTGCAGACTACCTAAAGATGTGTGTCGACAAGACCTTCAAGACTGTCTCCGAGTCACGTCACGTCGTGGACTGGGATCCCAACACTCTACCTTCACTCATTAAAGAACTAAGGACATTTCCATTCTTCCAGAGATACAATCTTAGTACCAAAGAGATCTTATAGGTGTATTTCTCAGGAAACAGTTCTTTATTACACAACCCTTCATAACATGACTAGTTGATAAGGCATTTAAAGAATGTCTCCAATTTCGCCGGAGGTGTGCACGGACATCAAGCGATCGTTTCTTTCTTGCCGCAAGTCACTACGGTAGATCATGGAGCTCTTCCATGGTCAACACTGAACGACGCCATTTGCTGCTAACTCAGCATCAGTGAGCCGCGCGCATGCGCTAGGCAGCCCCCTTCATTTTGATTTTTCCATAGAGCGTCGGTATAATTGCTCTGGCGCGGGTCAAATCTCACGTGATCTGCATACTTAACGCCTCAAAACTCGGCGAGAATGGCTCGCTAAGCTTCAAAAATCACTAGCAATAGTATACGGGCCAATATATAGCTATACATGTGCCCAAATAGCCATCATGCGATTGTCCGATTTTCGTGTCATCATGATCTTCTTCTTCAGACCCGCTATCTCCTTACCGGCAGTCATGATTTTTTCACTGAACGTATCCAGGTTCCACGGAGGTGTGCACGGCCATCAAGCGATCGTTTCTTCATTGTCGCAAGTCCCTACGGTTGATCTTTTAGCTCCACCGGGGTAGACACCATTTCCTGCTAACTCAGCAGCACGCGCCAGGGGACGACGTTGTCCGGATGCTCGCGCAGGCCGCGAACGGGCAGCGCGGCGGTTGATTTCGAGCTGTTGGTTTGCTCTGTATAGTCCTTACTGCTTTGTGGTGTGTTTCAGTGTCCCTGCTTACCCAACTTCATTTTGCTCTATACAAAAGCTATAGTGCATGGTGCTTTCTGTGTAGTCAGAGTGGTCCATAAAAAAAATAATTGGAAAAATCATTCCTTAAATGAAGGGGGTTATAGGGATGGGTTAAAGCACCAAAAAGGAAGGGGAAGGCTATTGTTTGAAATGACCTCTTGTTCTTTCCTTTTTGGTGCTTTAAGCCATCCCTACATCTCCCTTCATTTTGAAGAAATGATTTTTCCACTTTTTTCTCTCTAATTCGCTGCGCTAAAACAAAATAAAATACATCTCTCCCAGCTATCATGATAGTTGGTGTAATATTATTATGAGCATAGTAGGCTATTGTTTGATACAAATTACAGACAATTGCCTGATTCCCCTAATAATATTGGCTGACAGCCCTCCCATTATTTCGCTTCGCCTTCTACATAAGTTCTTGCGGAAATAATGAAGTTTATTGTGTGTGTTGACAACTTATGGTGTGCAATATAATTATACAATCCTCCTAGTTGAGTTCAAGATGGTGTGTGTAATGCCAGTTATCGTATGCCTGTGCTACTAAGGTTGTATCTCTGGAAGAATGGAAATGTCCTTAGTTCTTTAATGAGTGAAGGTAGAGTGTCGGGATCACAGTCCACGGTGTGACGTGACTCGGAGACAGTCTTGAAGGTCTTGTCGACACACATCTTTAGGTAGTCTGCAGGACACTCCAAATCCAGGAATCGGCAAATGTCTGAGAGTGTCTTGGCAGGATCAGCAATGAGGTCCTCACAGTGGACCTCCAGTGGCGAGAGCCCCAAATCAGGAATCATTCTCATCACCGCTTTGGACATGTTGACGATGATTGAGACGGTTTGTTTTTAGTCCTTTGAAGTTTCGGTACTTGTGTGTTGGTGTTGCTTTTAGTTTTTCATGTTTCTCGTGGCAATTTTTGTACAATGTATGAGTGGCAATCATGTCAAGTGGGTTGCGAATGATTTGTAGCACTTTAATAGGTACCTTCACACTAGCGGCAAGCTGCTGATACAGTTTCTTAATTTCTTGTCCGTCTTTCATGTACCCCTTAACTGTTATATCTGCACTCTTGTCACCAATCAGTTTGAGCTCTGTAAACCTGCCTTGCCAGGAATTCTTGATGTTAAGAGTGTATCCTTTCCCATCACTTCTAGGATCACGCCAGCCTTTGTTTACAACTGATGTGTAGGTATTTCTGTAAAGTGCCTGAAAAAGTTTATTCTTATTAATACTCGGTTCTTCGTTTTTACTTAATTTTCGAAAAATGAAGTATTCATTAGCAACAACTGCATTAGGATGAGCATCCAGCATGCTCCCAATGATGCTGTGACAACTCCTTGGCCAGCCAACAAACAGGAGGAATGTTTCAACACCATCGATATCTGACTGACTCAAATCGTCATGGGAGGGAGTTGCTTCAGTTGCTGGTGGTACCGACTCTCTGTCCATCTCTCTCTCTGGGAGTTCACCGGCACTCCTACCATATGTAGTTAAAACAAGTGTGGGGAACAACGTCGCGAGAGCCGTGTATGCATTGCCAGATGCACACACTTGTCGTAGCTAGGTTTGAGCCTCCATGTTTTGTGCCCCAGCTGGTATAACTGAAGCCACCACTTTGTACAAAGATCCAATTACACAATGTATAATATTTCATTGGCAACCCCTGCAAGAAGCATTCTACACAGAGGTATGTCTGTGTAGCTAATGCATGGTAGCCCATAGTTGTTTTCTGTTTATACTATGCTCGTGTTTCAGTGTCTATGCCTCCCCCATTCCATCTCACTACAATGCTAGCTCTTCTAATGTGCATGGTTTGTCAGGCAGCGGTCAACATGGAAGAAGAACTAGTTCTTGGTCAACCTCTCTACAACATACACCCCTTGCAAGTGGCTGCCATAGCACTAGGGCCACAGACCACGCACCCAGAGCAATGGGCGGAACCGTTAACAAACGAACAATACACATATGTACATGAGGTGTCTGTCTCCTCCCAGACACCTCAACTCACCTTCCACCAGCGACACCCTGCAGCTCCCCAGACGCAATCTGAGACTGGGTCTGTTGTACGCGGGGATTTCGCCGTATAACCTAACCTTTCTTAGCTCCCAAACATCCAAAATATAACCTTTAAGCAAAGAACCAAATTTATCCTCCCACAGCTCAATATACCCAATATAAAGGATGCTATCAAGCGACTGGAAATGCTCAAACCGATCATCCCCAAGCTTCCCCTGCAGGGCAACTAAGAAATTGCTCCTAAGACACTGCACACTCCCACAACACATGACTCACACTTTCACACTCATCATCACACAACAGGCACTCCTTCATCCCCTCCCTCCCCCTATGCCTACCCAGTTCCTCATTTAGCCCATGTGTGCCTGACCTGAACTAATCTAGACCCAGCATCACTATTCCCATGCAAGTACTTTTTTAACTCTACCACCTTGTTAAATGTCTAATGCTTTACTTTGCTATTTAGCCCCTCTTCAAACTTTCTAATCTCCCTCTCATTAATACTGTCCCCTACTATAGACAAAAAGCCCTTCAAGGAGCAATCCCCATTTTGAATATCATGCAACCACTCTGCCTTGTCACGACCTAATGACAAAAAGAGATCATCAATGACCTTACTCCAACACTTCCTCTGCCTGCCTGGGGCCATGATACAAAGGCAAAGGAAACAAGTCAACTACACCCAGGACAACCTTTTTTTCCAAGGGACCCCACGACACTCTGCAGTCTAGGCAGCCGAGGGCCAGGGAAGCTCGGCAGGCATGGACTCAAGTGGGCAGCTCGGCGGGCACGGACTCAAGTATGTATGCAATACAAGGCAAAGGCAAACCTCAACTAACTGTGCTGGCACATTAAACTCTCACTCAGTATAGGTACATCAGAGTGGCTATCACATACGTGAATAGATACCGTGCAGTCAGAGCTGTTCAAATAATGGAAACAAGATTGTGTCATGTAGGTTTGTGATGACCCCTCCTTTTGCGCCATCCCAATATCACTTGTTAAAACACTTAAATTTATGCCCTCCAAGTAGCTTGGACTTTTTACTGTATATACGAGTGCATTGACTGGCGCTCATTTTGTAGCAGTAACGCAGATCCAGGTGTCATAACAGAACCGATCATATCGCACATCGACCAAGGCCAGGGTGCGAAACACAGCTAGCTATGGCTACTTACCACTGCCGAAAGAACAAGAGATCAATTAGAGCCAGTCCAAGTACCAGAACAGCTAAAAAACGTAGTATTAGCAATTTCCTCTTCATGATTCGGAATCCACCCGGCTCAAGAACTTTCCCCTCACGCGTAAAAAACCTGGACCGCACCGGTGCGGCGGCGGGGGGTGTACTTATATATATATATATAGCTAGGACATGCTTGCGTAGTTACGTAAGAACCACATGACAAAAATGCGCGTTGTAAAAGTCGCAAACTTATGTATACTCCTATTCAAATTGTCATTGACGAAAATTCTCGTGAACCCATACATTCGGGAGTTAAAAAATTGCTCTCACACGTGATCGTGTCCTTTTTAAGTTAGATCAGACCCCGGCCCCCTAGCCCTATGGACAAACGTAGCGGAAGTCGCACGCGGAACCGAAGCCCTCTGCGCTGCCAGGCCGGCCATGCGTAACAATGACGCGTAATTTTTTGGGGGGGGCGTGTCTTATGTCCCAGCGCGCATTGCGCGAAACAGCCGTGACCACCCCGGCCCCCGACCCCTGTGCGGGGTGTACGTGTACAGCGCGGCGCTGGTAAGCCTCAGTGGTTGGTAAGCCATATTAGTGGGTGGGGCTAATTGCGGTCGATGTCCTTTATTACACGCGTGAAGGAAAAAAGTTGGTGCGGAATCGCACAGAAGAGCTATAGAGGTTCTATAGGGGTTGTCCCTCCCGCCGCCGATCGCGATGGCTATTACGTGTTTCTGAGCATGCGCAAATCCCATTATAGAGCCCCCCTGGCTGAATCGACTCATCTACGCAGTGTCGTTTTTCGCAAAAAAAAAGAAGAAAAACGTTGACACCCGCTTTACAGCGGACGTGTATGCTGGAGAAATAACATAGAACGGTGATGTCAGTGTAGTCTCGAATGCTGGCATATCAAATCCACTGAAATGTGTTCACACTGTAAAGCAACTTCTGAAAACCCTTGCACCTCGTGATTTGTGGAAAAGGGCTCACAACACCCCTATCATTATCCTCGCTTGATGAAATCTGCGGCTTTCTCAGCTATCATGATAGTTGGTGCATTTGTGTTCCCAGACACTATCTCGGGCATCACAGAGGCATCCACCACCCGCAGGTTCTTGACACCTTTTACTCTTAGCTGAGGATCAACAACCGCGGTGGCATCTTGGGTCGACCCCATTCTGCACGTTCCAACTGGATGATGGAGGGTCATTGTACTCTGTCGAATGTACCACTGCCAGAACTTGTCCGTGTCATATGGATGGGGGCTCACTGCGTTGGCCGCAAGGAGACGACCCCGAATCCCATCAAATGAGCTCGTATTCACGAGTCTCTGAACTAGTCTTATTCCCTTTAGCAGTTTGTCCACGTCGTCTGGATGAGAGAGATAATAAGGTGTAATAAAAGGGTCCTCCAGCGGTCCCCGAACAGGGTCTGGTCGAACGGATCCACGGCTCTTTGGGTGGAGTAGAACGACGTAGACAATGTAGCCCGGAGGAGCATAGTCTTCTAGTAGGTCGTAACCCCACAGCTGGGTAAGCCCCTGCACTGAGTAGTGCAGGGCCATTTGTGCCAACTCCCCGTTGAGGAGCTCTGAACTAAAGATGAGCTGAATATCAGGTCTCTCGTCAGACACACCACAAAGCAGTAAGGACCAAACCAACAGCTAACGACATCAACAGCGCCACTGCCCGTGCGACGGCCTGCGCGAGCACCTGGCGCGTGCTGCTGAGTTAGCAGGAAATGGCGTCGTTCAGTGTCGACCCTGGTGGAGGTAAAGGAATCAACCGTAGACTTGCGACCACGTGAAGACACGATCGCTTGATGGACACCTTCACAACTCGTCGTAGAACCTGGGCTCTTTTCTGATCTCCACACGCTATGGCACGGTCAAATCACACGTGATCTGCATATTATATGCTATACAAAACGCCTCAAAATGCGGCGAGAATGGCTCGTCTACAGCTTCAACAAATCACTAGCAATTAGTATATCGCGGCCATATCTAGCCCCAGGCTATCATTGCCCCATCATTAACAGAATCAGAGTGGATAAAAGCGTGTGCAGAGTAAGAGCTGGAAGAAAAGGGGCCGGTCCCATGTAGCAGGTACTCAATCCACGACCAGGTGGACTGGGCTTCCAGCAGAGAGCGAGTCAGCTCACTGCCCACAGCTGCACCCTTCAACCTGACACTGACGAATTACACTGCGAGTGGTGTGGTGATCTCCGCAAGTTATCGTTTGCCCCACTGAGGAGCTCACACACAGATGATAACGTACGAACCATCCCCGACAGTGTCACTCGGTCCAATCCCCGACAGTGTAGAGTATCTTGCTGAGAGGACAGTCCCGCACTGGTATTAGTATGGTGTTTCCAGTGTTGCACTTCACCACAGTCCGCTCAGCACCAGTTCTGGCTCTAGCTGTTTTCGGTGATGCCGGACACACCAGGCGGTGAGGTGGTTCCGGTCCAGCTACTATCCCCTCACAGCACAGTCTTCCGACCACACGACGTGGAGGTTTTAGCGGTGTCTCACTGGGTGGAGGAAATCCCTGGTTGCCGACTGCCGCACCCCGTCCTTGATTGAAAAAGCCAAAAGGTCCGGATAGAGTGAGACATGTCATAAATGTCTCAAAGGAGGCAGGCACAGAGGCTATAGGCCATAACGCGCGTGCGCGGGATGAAAGGGGTGTGTCGATTTGGCAATGCGTGCAGGAGAGTTGCTGAAACGCCGATCGGACGCAGAAGCCGATTTCGTGACTGAAAGAGATATAGGGATAGCGCGAGTGAAATCTCACGTGATCCGCGTACAAAACGACTAAAAACTCGGTGAGAATGACTCCCTAGGCCTTCCAAACACACTAGCAATAGTCTACGGTACCTATAGATGTTCCCAAATACCTCATACGCACCTTCAGTCGTCCAGGCGAGAATTCGCTCATACGCGATTTCACGATATTTCGTGTCATTATCATATTCTTCATCTTCTTCTTCTTCTTCAGACCCGCTTTCTCCTTGCTGGAACAAGTTGAAGGGCTTATTTTTTCACTGAACGTCTCCAATTTCGCCGGAGGTGTGCACGGACATCAAACGATCGTTTCTTACTTGCCGCAAGTCACTACGGTAGATCATGGAGCTCTTGATCTCCACACGCTGGCACGGGTCAAATCACACGTGATCTGCATAATTATAGCTACACAAAACGCCTCAAAATTCGGCGAGAATGGCTCGCTAAGCTTAAAAAATCACTAGCAATAGTATACGGGCCAATATCTAGCTATACATGTGCCCAAATGCTTGATATGTGCCATCATGCGATTTTCGTGTCATCATAATCTTCTTCTTCTTCAGACCCGCTATCTCCTCAGCTACCAGAACAAGTTGCATCCATGATTTTTTCACTGAACGTATCCAGGTTCTACGGAGTTGTGAAAGGCCATCAAGCGATCGTTTCTTCATTGTCGCAAGTCCCTACGGTTGATCCTTTACCTCCACCAGGGTAGACACTGAACGACGCCATTTCCTGCTAACTCAGCAGCACGCGCCAGGTGCTCGCGCAGGCCGCGCACGGGCAGGTGGCGGTTGATTTCGAGCTGTTGGTTTGGTCCTTACTGCTTTGTGGTGTGTTTCAGTGTCCCTGCTTACCCAACTTCATTTTGCTCTATACAAAAGCTATAGTGCATGGTGCTTTCTGTGAAGTCAGAGTGGTTCATAATAAAGAAACAAGTGGGAAAATCATTTCTTAAATGAAGGGGGGTATAAGGATGGCTTAAAGCACCAAAAAGCAAAGACACACAAATCAACATGACACTATCCCTATATCTTTGTTCCATTGACTAATAGGGAAGTACGATCAGACAAACATTATAGCATGTTGATTTGTGTGTCTTAGCTGTGAAATGACCTCTCATTCTTTCCTTTTGGTGCTTTAAGCCATCCCTACATCTCCCTTCATTTTGAAGAAATGATTTTTCCACTTTTTTCTCTCTATTTCGCTGCGCTAAAACAAAAAGAACTAAAGTGCAAACCCTCGGCGAAACTGCGCATGCGCGATACTGCTAATTGGCGGGCTGGGCTATTTGTATGCTTGTAGTAACCCGCGGAGAATCTGACACGTGCTAGCTACAGTGGTCGATAGCATGCGGGAGTCGATACGTGGCATTTTTCGTGACTTCCTGAGCCCCCAAGGTACATAGAGCGAGCAGATCAGGTCGCGGTAAGCCCAGTGCGATTATGCATATTGGCTTTTTCGCTTGTTTTCACGGCATATCTCAGAAAAATCGCCCTTTTATTTTTCAGGTTCGCGTAGTTCTGAAGCCGCTGGTATCGCTAATGGGCCGCCTCGTAGCCTGTAGTGCCAGAATAAGCGTCGACACACAGACAGACAGACAGACAGACAGACAAACCAACTACAGTAACCCTCGCTGCGCATGCGCGCCGAGGGTTAAATACATCTCTCCCAGCTATCATGATAGTTGGTGTAATATTAAGCATAATAGGCTATTGTGTTTGATACAAATTACAGACAATTGCCTGGTTTCCCCTCATGATATTGGCTGACGGCACTCTCATTATTTCGCTTCGCCTTCTACATAAGTTCTTGCGGAAATAATGATGTTTGTTGTCGGTGAACAGCTGGGTGGGGTGCACAGCGGAACTATTAATGATAAGTGGTACACGTGACAACTTACGGTGTGCAATAAAATTATACAATCCTCCTAGTTGAGTTCAAGATGGTGTGTGTAATGCCAGTTATCGTATGTCTGTGGTACTAAGGTTGTATCTCTGGAAGAATGGAAATGTCCTTAGTTCTTTAATGAGCAAAGGTAGAGTGTTGGGATCCCAGTCCACGGTGTGACGTGACTCGGAGACAGTCTTGAAGGTCTTGTCGACACACATCTTTAGGTAGTCTGCAGGACACTCCAAATCCAGGAATCGGCAAATGTCTGAGAGTGTCTTGGCAGGATCAGCAATGAGGTCCTCACAGTGGACCTCCAGTGGCGAGAGCCCCAGATCAGGGATCATTGTCATCACCGCTTTGGAGATGTTGACGATGGTTGAGACGGTTTGTTTTAGTCCTTTGAAGTTTCGGTACTTGTGTGTTGGTGTTGCTTTTAGTTTTTTATGTTTCTCGTGGCAATTTTTGTACAATGTATGAGTGCAATCATGTCAAGTGGGTTGCGAATGATTTGTAGCACTTTAATGGTACTTCACCTAGCGGCAAGCTGCTGATACGTTTCTTAATTTTGTCCGTCTTCATGTACCCCTTAACTGTTATATCTGCACTCTTGTCACAATCAGTTGAGCTCTGTAAACCTGCCTGCAGGAATCTTGATGTAAGAGTGTATCCTTTCCATCACTTCTAGGATCACGCCAGCCTTTGTTACAACTGATGTGTAGGTATTTCTGTAAAGTGCCCGAAAAAGTATTCTTATTAATACTCTGGTTCTCGTTTTTACTTAATTTCGAAAAATGAAGTATTCATTAGCAAAACAACTGCATTAGGATGAGCATCCAGCATGCTCCCAATGATGCTTTTGTGACAACTCCTGGCCAGCCAACAACAGGGGAATGTTTCAACACCATCGATATCTGACTGACTCAAATCGTCATGGGAGGAGTTGCTTCAGTGCTGGTGGTACGACTCTCTGTCCTCTCTCTCTCTGGAGTTCACCGGCACTCCTACCATATGTAGTATAAGTGTGGGAAACAACGTCGCGAGAGCCGTGTATGCATTGCCAGATGCACACACTTGTCGTAGCTAGGTTTGAGCCTCCATGTTTTGTGCCCCAGCTGGTATAACTGAAGCCACCACTTTGTACAAGATCCCAATTACACAATTATATATTTCTTGAGCAACCCTGCAAGAAGCATTCTACACAGGGTGATGTCTGTGTAGCTAATGCATGTAGCCATAGTTGTTTCTGTTTTCTTCATCTATGCTCGTGTTCAGTGTCTCACCTCCCCCATTCCATCTCACTACAATGCTAGCTCTTCTAATGTGCATGGTTTGTCAGGCAGCGGTCAACATGGAAGAAGAAACTAGTTTTGGTACACCTCTCTACACATACACCCCTGCAGTGGCGACATCAAGCACTAGGGCCACAGACCACGCACCCGAGCACTGGGCGGAACCGTTAACAAACGAACATACCATATGTAATGAGTGTCTGTCTCCTCCAGACACCTCAACTCACCTTCCACCAGCGACACCCTGCAGCTCCCCAGACGCAATCTGAGACTGGGCATGTTGTACGCGGGGATTTCGCCGTATAACCTAACCTTTCTTAGCTCCCAAACATCCAAAAATAACCTTTAAGCAAAGAACCAAATCTTTTATCCTCCCACAGCTCAATCATACCCAATATAAAGGATGCTATCAAGCGACTGGAATGCTCACACCGATCATCCCAAGCTTCCCCTGCAGGGCAACTAAGAAATGCTCCTAAGACACTGCACACTCCCACAACACAAGACTCACACTTTCACACTCATCATCACACAACAGGCACTCCTCATCCCCCCTCCCCTATGCCTACCCATTCCTCATTTAGCCCATGTGTGCCTGACTGAAACTAATCTAGACCCAGCATCACTATTCCCATTGCAAGTACTTTTTTACTCTACCACCTTGTAAAATGTCTAATGCTTACTTTGCTATTAGCCCCTCTTCAAACTTTCTAACCCCCTCTCATTAATATGTCCCTACTATAGACAAAAAGCCCTTCAAGGAGCACATCCCCATTTGGATATGATGCAACCACTCTGCCTTGTCACGACCTAATGACAAAAGAGATCATCATGACCTTACTCCAACACTTCCTCTGCCTGCTGGGGCATGATACAAGGCAAAGGAAAAAAGTCAACTACACCAGGACAACCTTTTTTTCCAAGGGACCCCACGACACTCTGCAGTCTAGGCAGCCGAGGGCCAGGAAGCTCGGCAGGCATGGACTCAAGTGGGCAGCTCGGCGGGGCACGACTCAAGTATGTATGCATACAAGGCAAAGGCAACCTCAACTAACTGTGCTGGCACATAAACTCTCACTCAGTATAGGTAGCTAATCAGAGTGGCTATCACATACGTGAATAGATACCGTGCAGTCGAGCTGTTCAAATAATGGAAAACAAGATGTGTCATGTAGGTTTGTGATGACCCCCTTTTGCGCCATCCCAATATCACTTGTTAAAACACTTAAATTATGCCCTCCAAGTAGCTTGGACTTTTACTGTATATACGAGTGCATGACTGGCGCTCATTGTAGCAGTAACGCAGATCCGGTGTCATACAGAACGATCATATCGCACATCGACAAGGCCCAGGGTGCGAAACACAGCTAGCTATGGCTACTTACCACTGCCGAAAGAACAAGAGATCAATTAGAGCCAGTCCAGTACCAGAACAGCTAAAAAACGTAGTATTAGCAATTTCCTCTTCATGATTCGGAATCCACCCGGCTCAAGAACTTTCCCTCACGCGTAAAAAACCTGACCGCACCGGTGCGGCGGCGGGGGTGTACTATAATATGATTAGCAGGACATGCTTGCGTAGTTACGTAAGAACCACATGACAAAAATGCGCGTTGTAAAAGTCGCAAACTAGGTATACTCTATGCCAATGTCAGTGACGAAAATCTAGCGTGAACCATACATTCGGAGTTATTGCTCTCACACGTGATCGTGTCCTTTTTAAGTTAGATCCGACCCACGGCCCCTAGCCCTATGGACAAAGTATGCGGAAGTAGCACGCGGAAAAGACGTCCTACTATGCGCTGCAGGCCGGACACTAATGCGTTAAAAAGACGGTAATTATTGTGGGGGGGAGTGATTAATGTCAGCGAGCATTGAGCGAAATCAGACGTGAAACAAACCCACCCCACCCGGCCCACGAAAACATGTCGCGGGGGGTACTGTCTAAAGAGACGTGCGCTTGGTAAGCATCAGTGGTTGGTAAGCCATATTAGTGGGTGGGGAATGAGGTAGTTGTAATTTATGTTAAAAGGGGTAAGGAAAAAAGTTGGTGGGAATAGAAAAGAAGGGGGGTGGGTGGGGGGGGGGGGGGAGTGGGCGGGGGGGGGTGGGTGGGTGGGGGGGAGATTAGGGGGGACGGGCGGAGCGGGCGGCGTGCCGGGTGGGGTGGGGGGGGGGGGGGGGGATGGGGGGGGGGATGGAGTTGGGGCGCGGGGGGGGGGGGCGGGTGCGGGGGGGTGCGGCGGAGCGGGGGCGGGGGGGGGGGGGGGTGGGAGGGGTTGGGGGGATCGCGGGGGGGGGGGGTGGGGGGGGGGGGGGGGTCGGGGGGGGGAGCGGGGCGGGGTGGGGGGGGGGGGGGGGAGGGGGGCGGCAGGAGGCGGCCTAGGGGGGTGTGGGGCGGCGGGGGTGGGGGGGGGGGGGGGGGGCGCCGGGGGGGGGGGGTCGGGGCGGGCTGGGTGGGCGTGGGGGGGGGGGCGGGGGGGGGGGTGGGGGGGCGAGGGGGGGGGGGGGGGGGCGGGGCGTGGGGGGGTGGGGGGGGGGGGGGGGGGGGGGGGGGGGGGGGTGGGGGGGGAGGGGGGGGCGCGGGGGCGAGGGGCCGGGGGGGGGCGCGCGGGGGGGTGGGGGGGGGGGGGGGGGGGGGTGGGGGGGGGGGGGGGGGTGGGGGGGGGGGGGGGGCGGGTGGGGGGGAGGTGGGGTGGGGTGGGGGGCGCCGGGGGGGGGGGGAGGGGTTGGCCAACTCCAAAAAACACAAAAAAAAAAAAAACGGGGGGCGCGGGGGGGGGTCGGGGTCGGGGCGGGGTGGGGTGGGGTGGGGGGGGGGGTGGGGGTGGGGGGCGGGGGGGGGGGGGGGGGGGGGTGTGGGGGGGGGGTCGAGGGGGGGGGGGGGGGCGGGTGGGGGGGGGGGGGGTCCCCCCACCCCACCCCCTAAAAAATTTTTTAGAGGTTCTATAGGGGTTGTCCCTCCCGCCTCCGATCGCGATGGGCTATACGGTTTCTGAGCATGCGACAAAATCTCATATAGAGCCCCCTGGCTGAATGACTCATATCTACGCAGTGTCGTTTTCGCAAAAAAAAAAAAAAAAGGAAAAAACGTTGACACTCCCCGCTATTTACAGCAGCGCCGACGTGTATGCTGGGAGAAATAAAATAGAACGGTGATTGTCAGTTGTTGTGCTCGAAGCTGGATATCAAATCCACTGACGAAAATGTGTCACATGTAAAGCCAACTTGTGAAAAACCCTGCAACTGTGATTTGTGGGGGAAAAAAGGGATACACACCCATATCATTATCCTCGCTGCTGAATCTGCGGCTCTTTCTCAGCTATCAGGATAGTGGTGATTGGTTACCAGCACACTCTCGCGGCATAACAGAGGCATCCACCATACACGCAGGTTCTTGAACCTTCCTTACTCTTAGCTGAGGACAACAACGCCGGTGGCATTCTCAGGGGTCGACCCCCCTTATGCACGTTCAACCTGGATGATGGAGGGTAATTGTACTCTTGTTCGAATCGTACCACTGCCAGATTGTCGCTGTCATATGGATGGGGCTCACCGCGTTGTCCGAAGGACGACGACCACTGAATACCATCAATGAGCTAGTATTCACGAGTCTCTGAAATAGTTTATTCACTTTAGCAGCGTGTCCACGCGTCTGGATGAGAGAGATATCTAAGGTGTAATTAAAAGGGTCATCCAGCGGTCCCCCCGAACAGGGTCGAGCCGAATGGGATCCCACGGCTCTTTGGGGGCGGATGAAAGACCGTAGAACACTGTAGCCCGGAGGAGCAATTCTTCTAGTAGGTCGTTAAGCACACAGCTGGGTAAGCCCCTGCACTGAGTGGGGCAGGGCCAGTGTGCCAACTCCCCGTGAGGAGCTTTTTGAACCTAAAGATGAGCTGAATATCAGCGTCTCTCGGTAAGGGAACACCTGCCAAATCCATACAACAGAATCACAGTGGATAAAAGAGTGCCCTTCTTTGCCTTGCCGAAGCCCAGCTAACTCCCCTCCACCCCCTTTCCTCCCCAGCTGGGAAGGAAAACTGACGGTGGACCACTTCCCTTCCGCGACTAAACATCGCCCCAATGATAGAAGCCCCTCCCTCCCCTTCCTCTCTTTCCCTTTTTCTCCCTCCACCTCTCCACCCTCTATTCCCATCTTCCCCCCTTCTCGCCCCCCTGCCCCCTCACTTTCCGTCCGCTTTCTTTTTTTCTCGTACCCCTCACTTCAACCTGTCTTTTCTTTTTTTCTCCCCTTCCCCCTTCTACCCTTGTACTCAATCAAACGAACAAGAGTGGACGGCCTGTCAAGCAGAGAGCGAGTCAGCTCACTGCCCACAGCTGCATCAACCCTGAATGGAAGCATAACTGCAGGGTGATTCTGCAAGTTCTGGCCCACTGGGAGCTCCACTACAGATGATAAGTACGAACCATCCCCGACATTGTCCCTCGGTCCAATCCCCGACAGGAGAAGTATCTTTGCTGAGTTGACAGTCCCCGCACTGAGGATGGTTTCCCGTTTTGCCTTCACCAGTCTCTCAGCACCAGTTCTGTACTCTGCTGTTTTGGTGATCCTGACACCCAGGGCGGTGGTTCCGTCCAGCTCTATCCTCCTCACAGTCTTCCCTACCACCACGTGGAGGTTTTTGCGGTGTCTCACTGGGTGGAGGAAAGCCCGGGCTGCCGACTGCCGCACCCCGTCCTTGATTGTCTTTTGTGTCAGCGAAAATCCAATCTGGTTTCGTCCGTTGTAGTCTACTCGCTCGTAGCCAAGTTCAATACCGGCTTGAACGAATCTCTCTGCAACCAATGGGACGTAAGATCCAGTCTCTACGTTCAGGGGTCCCTCATACCCGTGAAATTGGGTGTCCCCTTTGTTATCGTTGTAATTCTCAGACTTCTTGAAGTAAGGGAGCACGTCTTTGTAGCTCCATCCTGTGGCACCCATCTCTTCCCAGCGATCATAGTCTCCTCTGTGTCCGCGGACGTAGGCAGCATCTCCCAGTGCGCTGGAGCCCCCCAACACCTTCCCGCTGGGCCAGAAGGTCCGCTGACTAGTCATTGCCAGACAGCAGTTCTTCTGCGGAGCTGTCAGGTACTCCCAGTCCACGGACGAGCGCTGGAGGTCGTAGACGGCGTGCGGGACTGGGATGTTAGGGTTGGAGTCTCTTCCGCCAGCCTCCAAGAGGAGGACGGTCACGTTGGGGTCCTCGCTCAGGCGACTAGCGAGGACGCAGCCCGCTGAGCCCGCGCCCACTATGATGTAGTCGTAGTCCAGCTCCAGCCGGATGTACTGGAGAGGCAGGTCGGCTGGATCCCACGTCGCCGTCTTGTAGATCTCCAGGAGGAGCAGGCACACGAACGAGGCCCTGATCGCACCCATATTGAACTTCCGGCCTTGGAGTTGCAGATCGTTATCTATGTAGCTGTAGGCGGGGCTCACCGCCGTGCGCATATAGACGCGGTTGCAGTCGCCAGTTAGTCTCCGCAATGATGTTGCTGTTGCACGTTCTTCATTTCTGTTTGTTGATCGTGCTTGCTCGGGGATGGTCGAGCGGTGCCCCGACGGAAGCATGCAGCGATATTTACCCGGCAGGCCACAACGGAACCAACTCGCTAGATCTGCAGGCAAACCCGTACCGGCTAGATCTGGCGGCATTTGATGAGCTCGGAGGAACACTTTACTATGTTGCAGATCAGTCTTACAAGAGTGAGTTAGCTACATTGTGTGCTAACAGACAATCGGGTTTTATTGTACTGCACGTACTTGAAAACTTCCCTCAGTTGTGCTGAGTGGGATGTCAGGAGAAGAGTTCAAGGGGTTTCTGGTGCAGGCTAGAACATTGGCTGATAACTCTCCTGTTGGACAGTTCATTTCCCTGGGACCAGACCAACAGCTCAGTGATTGTGTGCCAGAGGAAGTATGTAGCTAATAGCATATCTATACATCACAAGAACTCATGTTGACAGAATAATCTGTTATTTGAGTTGTGTATCTCAGTCTGCAGTAACCCACATAAATGCAAGTCTCAAGACTCGAGTTTCTTTGACGTGGGGAGCACCTGACAATGGACGTGGACAACTAAAGTTCTTGTAAGTGCAACAAAACCCACAACATTTATAGTTGTGAAAAAATAGCAGCCACTAATCTAGGCTAACCTAATGACTGGGAAGAGTTTTGGTTTTCATAATAATAAATGTTTCAGGTTTGCAGTTGTTGACAGCATCAACACATTCTGGGTCCCTGCTGTGACCATCACACTACACCGTATGTGCCCTACGACCACGTATTCTGTGCCAATGAAATTTGTCCTTTCCCCTTTTCCTGGAACAGCCTGTGAGTTCCCAGTGTATGTACATGATGGGCAGTGTGTTGAAACCTGCCCTCCAGCAATGTTTGGGAATCATACGACACATCGGTGTGAACTATGTAAGTTGTGAGTTCAGAAAAATGACAAACTATATGTAGCACGGGCCTGCAGTTTCTTCTATTCTTCCCATGCAGTGCCTTCAGACTACAACGTAGCACTGAATGCTACTGCCTACTATGCCAAGATACTCAGCAATCATCCACTCAATACACCCGTCTTCAGAATCAAGGCCATCATTTCAGCTGATTCAAACCCCGCTAGCATAGCAATAGTCTTTTTCCAAACCCCGGCAATTCAAAATATATTGGAGTTGGAGGGAGGTAGTTTTGATACAATATTCATATCAGCTGCTGACTTGGTAACAAGGGGGAGTGAGTCTGTGTACGAGACATCTATCAACCTCATACAACATCCATTCTCCGAGTTTTACGATGCAGCTTATCCGATAAAGTTTAACCTCAGTATTTATCTACTTGCAGGTGGCTACTCTGAAGTGTACTCAGCAGGGTTGGGATACATAGGTATAGCCGATGATGTAGCTGTGTATACTATCTTGCTCCTTCCCGATATTCTACAGCCTGCGGTCTCCCTCTGTATGAGAGTGTTGGTCATTGTGTGGAGACATGTCCTGATGGACAGTTTGGTAATGGAAGTATCACCACTCTCACTGGAACCTGTGATCCATGTGAGTGCATACAAGACACATTGATTTTTCGAGTACTCTTTTCTTCTATCTTTCCAGTTCCTGCTGATCGCAGTGTAGCCCTGAATGCCACAGTGTACTATGCCCAGATATACAGGAACAATTCACAGTCTACACCAGTCTTCACTGTCAGAGCTATCGTCAATGCATCCTTACCTCAAATCAACAGCTTGGTAATCACCTTACACGAAGACGAAAATAGCGTTAGCCCAATGATTACTAGGTCAGAGAGTGATCTTGTGACAGTGGGTAATCAGAGAGTTACTGATTTCTCATTCCTGGCAAGCAATCTGTACACCCGTTTTAACGAGGAGGATTTCCCCGTGGAATGGTTTATTACCATCAACCTCACAGTCAGTCTGCCTAGTCAGACCCTACACGACACATCCAGGGGACTAGTAAAGATTTGTCTCTCTCCAGGTAAGGCTTTTAGGCTTTGGGTGGGCAGGGGCCAGAAGGTATAGTGCCAACAGAGCTAAATAAAATAGTGGCTAGGGGTGGAGGAAAACTCTTTACCATAGTAAATGTACATCCCTGACTTTTGGTGTACAATTATGGTGAAACAAAGATATTCCCTGCTTTAGAGTTTTGTGGGAATGAACCAGTGAAGTCTCCAACATATTGTGATCCAACTCTTTGCTCTAATGGAGGTAACTGCACTGTGACGGGTGACAGCTATTACTGTGAGTGTGCCATGTGCTGGACATGGGAAAACTGCACTGAGTTTTTAGAAGAGTGTAGTACACCAATCACACCCAGCCCTACTCCTACTACTCTGTCTTGTGATCCAAACCCTTGCTCTAATGGAGGGAGCTGTAGTAAGGTGAACGGGAGCTCTTACTGTGACTGTGCCATTTGCTGGACTGGGGACAACTGCACACAGATTGCAGATGAATGTACTGACACTCGCTGCACTACTGAGTGTCTGAATGGTGGAACTTGTATTCTAACAGAAAACTCAGAATCACTCTGCGACTGTGTAATAGGCTTTACTGGCAGCACGTGTGAGACTAAACTCCCTTCTTGCCCAGTACACTACTGCCACAATGGAGGGACGTGCTTTCTGGTTCATGGGCAAAGTGTTTGCCTCTGCCGGCCTCAGTTCACAGGTAGCCAATGTGAGACAGTGCTGTGTGAGGCAGAAGCAGATGTACCGGTGTACCCTGGTAGTAGTGTGACCTACAGTTGGTCGTGGACAGAAGGAGGGAGGAGCCAGACTCAGCCCTGTCCTGACATTTGCCAGGAGCTCATTGACTATCCTTCAGGAGCAGTGGTGGAGAGACTGTGTCATGGAGACAGTGGCCAGTGGCTGGGCACCGACTTCACTGCCTGTGGACTCACCATCACTTCTCTACAGCTCTGTGAAGCTAGCCAGGTGTGCATTTAGTTTGATGGAGTTCTATTGAGTGTTTCTTACTTCAGGGAAAGAGTGGTGTAGAGCTGGCTGCTACAGTGGTTCAAGTATCAAGTAATGCGTCAGCTCTAGAATCTCCCACCATCGCTGTGATTAGTAGCATCATTGATAACCTAACTGAATCTGCTATTGGGGACACACAGGTAATAGTATGGTAGACAAACTATTGTATATACACTTTAATCGTGGTGTATCCTTTAGGTTCGTGAGGCATTTTTGAGTATTGTAGACAATGTGTTGGATGCAAGCACCAGTGAGTTACTGATGAGTCAGACACTGGCCAATTCTTCTACCATGTACGTAACCCACACTCTTTATCCTAAAGATGCATAGTAAACTTGAGCATTTCTTTATTACGGGTGCAGAATACTTCAGGCTTTGGAAAGTTTCCTTGAGCGTGTGCCACTGGACAATGACACAGGCAGTGTTACTTTAACGCGGACAAACTTTGGGGTCATAGCATTGAGCATCAGTGGACTCTACCACACAGAATCAATCACACAGCTATCATTCAATGCTGACCTGGGACCTGTGGAGACTGCTTATTATGACAACTCAACTATCTCCCCAGAACAGCTCTTAGTCCACTCTGGGGATCCTCCGGCTAGTACAACTGGAGTCATCTCTCTTCAAGACCTGGGCACATGCCCTGAGAACAGAGAAAATGAGAGGATAGTCTACTCAGTTTTTAGAACCAACGCTCTCTTTCTCACTCCAGAAACTGCTTGCAACCTGTCTGCCATAGGCTCTATAGTACTGGGAGTGAAGAAGAGTGGCAGTAAAAACTGTAGTTCTCAGTCTGTGATTGTGGATTTACAGCAACTCAACAAGGTTAGGGCCAGATTATAATCAATATATGGTGATTTAGGGCGTAAGGGTCACTAAAGTGATAAAAAACGGTTGAAGTCTAGTAAGTTCTCCGAACGTTGAGCTATACATATAATAGCTAAACCTTTTATGCAGATGAAACATTTTTGCCCAGGATTTCTAGTTTCCTTGCTGAGTTAGACTCCAGCACATAACGTTTTCACAGATCATGGTTAACACTATTACCTGATGCTATGATGCAGGTCTGTAAAATGATGCACAATACAGCCAGTCGGGAGCCTACATGTTCACACTATAATGGTAAGACATTAATGATAACTGGTTAAACCATCTATCACTCGACTTAAACAGATGGAGCTGGGAAGTGGTCTTCCGAAAATTGTAAGAAAGTAAGCAGCAGTGGAGGAAGAACAAAGTGTGACTGCTCACAACTTGGACATTTTGGCTTGCTCTTTGTGAGAGAGAGTCACATGTTTTGCGTAACCCAGTAAAGTATGAGATTTTGTCTCAGGACCTACATCCTGATGAGCCCCTATCTCCACTTGCACTGGCTATTATCTCTTACATTGGAGCCGGTTTCTCTATTCTCTGTCTCTCATTATTCCTTCTCACCTTCCTGAGCTCAAAGTAAGACAAAACATTTATACTACTAAGACACATTGAGAGATGTATTTTGACTAACTCTGAAGGACTCTTCGAAGGAAGGAGCATGGGAAGATTCTGATCAACATCAGTGTGTCTCTCCTCTGTCTGTATGTGGTGTTTGTGGTGGCCGGTCTGGTGACGTCAGTGGAGCCTCTCTGTGGCCTGGTGGCCGCTCTCTTCCACTACATCATGTTGGTCTTCTTTGGCTGGACCGCAGCTGAGGCTGTCTTCCTCTACCACAAGTTGGCAGTGGTACTGGGAAACCCAATTCAACACTATGTCTGGAAGGCTGGACTTACAGTTTGGTGTAAGGTTTTTTCCCATAAACTTGTAGCTCTTTGCCCTTATGATTATCTGTGGTTATGCAGTGGTTCCTCTTCTGATTACTGTTATTTCTGTGGGACCAGGATACGAGTACTATGTCAACCCTTACTAGTAAGTATCTGACCTTCCACTTATAGAATGTTGGTAGCTATCTAAGGGCAACACTTACTTACCGCTTGCTCATGCTGTGATCTAATGTTCAGCTGCAGGGCAACAGAGTGGCCATTTTGGCTGGGACACATCTTGCCATTCTCCATCATAAACATATTCAACTGGATTGTCTTTTCTGTTATCATGGCTCAACTGATTCGCAGAAGGATGGCTGTGAAAGTCAACGTCGACCAGAGTAAGAAAGAAAACTCGAGGCAGAACTTCTTCATTGCAGTTGGACTGTCGCTGTTGCTGGGACTTGGCTGGGGATTTGGACTCACCGCCACCAGCTCCGACCTCAAAGAACTGGTTTTAAAATGATGAATCTGAATCGTGAAGGGTATTAATACTCTTTGTCGATTTATCAAAATCGATGTCTTTTACAAAGCGTTTATAAGGCAAACAATCGTGCCATAATTGGAAGTCTCCTGGATGAGGCTTTGTTCCTTTGTAGACGACTGAAACACTCTTTAGCTTTTCTCAGGCGATCATAAACCACTTCCAATCAAACTCCTTCTCTTTAGCACGAGATGCAGACAACTCCTCTCTCATCCTCTTAATAACATTTGAGGGTAACAACCATGCCATAGCAATGGAACGTTTAAGGGATAAAATTGGGTAATTTGTTGACTGCCCTGTTTAGATACCTCCACATACCTAGGCATCGTTTGAAATAAGTCTCGTGTGCATCTCCTCCGGTCCACTTTGAGTGCAAACAGTCTTGTAGGTGAGTACAAAGAGGCAATAGCAAAACCATAGTGCCTAAGTGTGACTCGAAAATCGATTGTGCACCAATGCTCGTGTCAGGAGGATGGGGAGGAGGGAATAAGCAAGACCAAACCCAAATATGAAACTATGCCGTACAAAAACAAAAGGGAAAGGAATACGTCATGAGAAATAGAGAATGTATCAACCCATGGTCTGTCTGAGTGTGTTGGATGTTGGCAGCCATGTTTTCTTCATGATTGACCTGGTGGTGGTGTGACTTACTCTTCTAAGTGGCAGCGGCCTCTCTGATCAAATAAAGTTCCAGAACGTGCACGTTCATTATCGTTATCTGCATGACCACCATCATTACCTCGGCCTCATCACTTGTTAGGGGCAGCACGCCCTCTCTTGATCCATACCAAAACCTGGACATATCCCATCATCGTACCTGCACTGTAGCACCATCTAATGCTCTCGTCCAAGGCCATTCAAGCAGTTCCTTGTGAACAAAGACTTGACCACGCTTGAAACAATAGTAAACTATTCTAACCAATGCTAGCATAGTGGGTGCAGGTTATGTCTTCTTACCTGTGTGTGAGACGGAACAAAAGTTGGTCGCATCCGATTTCGTGTTGTTAGCTAAATCGCGTGCACTCCTCTGGAATGCTGGCAACTCAAACCACAACTTCTGTTGGCCTCGATATATGAGAAGAACAGGAGAGGTAGCTGATGATGCGTGGGTGACAGTTAAGTAGCGGAACGTGTTGACCAGATATAGTCAGACACTGATAGTTGAGAAGTGTCGTCACAGTCACGTACAGAGGATCTGAATCGGTGTATGTGAGGTGGAAAAAACGTAGTTTTCACAAGAGATATATTTCGATGGTGTGTTTACTATACTATTTTCCGAGAACTTCATATAGTCAGCTGTACAACTTTACATACTCAATTTCACATAACGAGATGATAAGAATGCTCCACTAATAACAATACCAGACATCTCAGTAAGATGCTGGATTA